CACCCCCTAAATCAGTTCAGGAAAACCCCCTAAATCAGTTCAGGAAAACCCCCTAAATCAGTTCAGGAAAACCCCCTAAATCATTCAACACATAAAGCGCTTGCCATGATTTTTCAGGGGAGGTAATCAATCGATTATGGTAGAGAAGCAAACATTCATCAAAATCAATTGTGTAAAAATCCTGCTTATTTTATGAAAATTAGGTGTGCCATATACCCCCCCCCCCATACCCCAACTTTGAACTGTATTCATTAATAATTTTAAAGACCTGACAAATTAGATCGAAACATTCTTAGTGGCAACAAAATAAATTGTGTAAAAATCCTGCCTATTTTATAAAAATTAGGTGTGCCATATACCCCCCCCCCCCCATACCCCAACTTTGAACTGTATTCATTAATAATTTTAAAGACCTGACAAATTAGATCGAAACATTCTTAGTGGCAACAGAGGAGAACATCAACAAATCTACATTGGAAGTTTGAACATCATTGGCAAAATAAAAGAACAGAGAAAAGGGAGAGCATTAGAGGGGAGTTAACACAGTCAGGCTTTTTGGCATGGGGGTGGAATGAACGAATTCAAGACTGAACTAATCGGACATGTCAACATGATTGAATTCAAGAATGAACTTATTGTACAGGTCAACAGGAACTCAGGGCCAACAACTCTATTGTGTGGCTGTCATACTCTTTGCATTCTTAGAGAAAAAAGGAAATACAAATTGTATAACTTTGATTATTTGTTTTAACTATGACTGAAACTGTAGAACTGTTCAAGTAACTGACTTATGAGCACATAGAAGCTGCTCTGGTCTGACTCTGGTCTCTTACAGCATAACCTACATTGACATGTCTAGGCAATATGGAACATTAGACTAAACTCAGCCACCATTCCAACATCAGACCAAAAGTCACCATTCCAACATCAGATCAAAAGTCACCATTTCAACGGTGCGTGACGTTTTGGTGCCGCCGTCGTTTTGGCACGACCGTTTTGATGCAGAGCCGTTTTGGCGCAGGTCATTTTGGCGCACAGATGGTCTAAGCCATTATTTACCTTCCTGCCTAATCATGCGTGCGCTTCACATTTATAAAAGTGCAAGAGTGTTCTAGACTAAAATCATAAGTTAAGTAGAGTTTCATAAATAGATCACATATTATAATTCTGTTAAACCAGTAAAATGGAAAATGTTACATCGAAGCGTGATAAAGAATAGTTGAATCCCGAAGGATACTGTTATGAGTTCGATAAGTTTAGTGCAGAGCATTCCAGGAAGTTCTGGCGATGTGAGCTGAAGAAGGAATGCAAGGCTCGTTTACACACGACGGTAGATAATGATCGAGTTCTGATGCAGATGAACCAGCATAGACACGGAAGTGACACAGCGCAACTTCGGGTTGCCATGATAATGACTGGAATCAAAAGGAGTTATTTTTAAACGTTTCTTAATTTATATATTTTGCATTCTCTTTATTAAAAGTTTATAAATGTTAAGTTAAATAAAAAGTTATTTTTAAATGGCGCCAAAACGGCTCTGCGCCAAAACGGCTGCGCCAAAATGGCAGCGCCACAACGACGGCGCCAAAAAGTCCTGCTTCGCCCTCCAAGATGAGATCTAAAACAATGATAATTTCAGGGCAACTTTTGCTAAAGATCACCTGGCTCCAGATTTTAGTTTCATCTGAGACTTCATAATTGCATTTAAATGTTCACGGAACACTGAGCCGCCAACAAAACCAAATAATAACATTAGCATGAATATAAATCATATTTGTAATAAATTATCAATATTCATTTTTACAAAATTTGATAATTAGGATAAAGCAATGACCTACTTAGGGTACGACCTGCCCTCACTCTTCCAAGGTCAAGGTTACCATGGGGTACAGCTCATCAGCTCAAACAAACAAAAGGTTGCGCGTTAACATTTTTACTTTTACACATCACATCTAAAAATGAAGTTCTAACTCCACTTTTCCAAATATTCCCACAAGCTGCAAAATGTCTGGTAGCCTTAAGCAATTCACGCAACAATTGGCACAATGTCTGGATGCATAAAGTATGAAGCGTTTCACTCAACAATTGGCACAGTGTCTGGACGCATGAAGTATGAAGCAATCCACTCAGCAAGTGGCATGCCTCAAGACATCTCAACACATGAGCGCAGCTAACAAAAAGTTAAAACAGATTGTAGTCAAGCACTTAAAAACAGTCTCTATGTCGTCTAACTACTGGATATTTTCTTCATTAAACAAGAGGAACATGAACATGGAAATATTTGATAAAATTGCACTTGATTTAGGTCCAAACTTAATGTAGACATTAAATAACAGAATCAAACAACTTCATTTTTTAAATATTAAATAAATCTTGGGCAGCCATCTTGCAATGTAATTTTTTCCCCCTTGTCAATTTTGTGTGCGTTTATAACATCATTAAAAGTGACATCTCAGACGCAGTGAGGCTGACACATCTTTATGAGATCTCACATTTGACATTAATGGATTTGTTTCAGTTGTTCAAAGATTAGTTGTTAAATTCCTTATAAACTGTAAAAAAAGAAAAATATTTGAGTTATGCAAAGTTATGCCACAAGATCATCTCAACAACAAGTGTTATAAAAATTATATTTCCAAAATGTTCTAAATGTGCATCAAATATTAAGTATCTACTAAAGAATGTTTACTGTTGTGTGATGTGAAGCCAGTCCCAAGTTTCTGAAACACCAAGGCCAAATGGGATGATTTAATCAGAAAACTGACAGGCTGAAATAATTGCTATGCCAACGTAAGGAGTAAATCAGAAAGGATTAAAAAAAAATAATATCTAACTATATGAACTATAAACTTTAAAATAATATCCAACTATATGAACTATAAACTTTAAAATAATATCCAACTATATGAACTATAAACTTTAAAATAATATCCAACTATATGAACTATAAACTTTAAAATAATATTCAACTATATGAACTATAACATAATCTATATCAGGATCTCATGCTAGTAGCAGAAGTAAAAAAGGGCCGGCTACCCTGGGCAGGACTCTTAGAAAGAATGCCAAATGACAGAGGAGTGAAGAGGGTGCACCACCAAGTGCCAAATGACAGAGAAGTGAAGAGGGTGCATCGCCAACACCCCAGATGAAAACGGCTCAAAGGCAGACCTTGGCTTAGATGGATGGATGATGCAATCCAAGCATGGAAAAGAAAAGCGAAGTTAGGTCTGAGTGGAAGGAAGTGGTTGAGGCAGGCCGATGCCTACATGGGCTGTAGCGCTGCGAGGATGGATGGACTATAAACTTTAAATAATATGTTATCTGGTGTCTTTGTCTTATCAATGTTTAAAAAATTAGAATGATTAAAAGTAGACCATTTTTTTTTTAAAAGGACAACAAAAAAAAAATTAAAAGAAAATAATCTTTGCTTAAAAATGTAATAATTAAAGATTGAGTGAGATCCATTATTATTTGTTCCCATTTGACATTATGAGATTTTTGTTATTTGTAGACATTTTCTAAGCCATTCCATCAAAATATCATGTCTGCCCCACAAGATACAGGTGGAAACCAAAATTTTACCATGCATCATAATATTTTTTACCTTATTCACATGTTAACAATGCATTACATTTTTGTCCCTTAAAGAAAATGGAGTATTATTCAGTCTTGAAAATCTTGCTTCAGAAAATTTTTAAAAAATCTAGAAAACATTTAATTAAAAAAAAAAAGCCACTGAAATAATATATAACAGATGTAAGAGATGAAAAAATGTAAGTCCTCTAATTTGAATGAAAAAAAAACAAAAATAAGTTAAAACACATGTACAGAAGGTGAAAGGTTGTTGGCATGCACAAAACTAAAAAGAAAATGGAGTATTATTCAGTCTTGAAAATCTTGCTTCAGAAAATTTTTAAAAAATCTAGAAAACATTTAATTAAAAAAAAAAAGCCACTGAAATAATATATCACAGATGTAAGAGATGAAAAAATGTGAGTCCTCTAATTTGAATGAAAAAAAAACCAAACTATGTTAAAACACATGTACAGAAGGTGAAAGGTTGTTGGCAGGCACAAAACTATGGACACATGAAGTACATCATTCATGACAGCAAAGTAAAGGCAGATAACATTATGATAATAGTTCAGCTCAGTGTATTAACAAGTGTACACAGTATAACATCCAATAAATTACAGTACACAAAAACACAGATAAACACAACTCTCCTTCCCCACCCCACCCCTATACTTTTTTAAAAAGTAATGAACACACTTAAAAGTTACACTTAAAAATGGTAAAAAAGATAAAAATTACTTGAATAAGATTTTTTTGTACAAAGTATGTCACAGACATATTTCTGTCTTATGTAAGACATAAGGAGCAGTATTTTGGTAAGGTTACTTTTGATCTATTGAGCTGCATCACATTTTAGCATTTTATTGTAGCTCTGACCAGTCTCACATTGTTTAACTGAAGACTCCTGTTGGCATCAGTAGACACATTCAGGGAACGGTCACGCTAAATCCTAAACTTTTAAGGACACCTCTACTGTCTCGTCTCATCGAAATATTGTATATCTCGCATGCATCTTATATCACAAACGTGTCGGTTACCAGCCACATGTATCCAGGTGTCTGATACCATCCAGGTACGTGATACCACCCAGGTACGTGATACCATCAACATATCTGATACCATACAGGAGCTCGATTCCATCTAGGTAGATACCATCAAGATTTCTGATACCAACCGGGTGTCTGATACTATCTAGATGATCCTCTACAGAAAAAACAGATCCCATTCGAGCTGCAGCACTGACTTTGACTAGGCCCCTTCATGTCTTGGACAAGAGAAGCTGTTGGTGAGTGTATCTCCTCTGTGAGGCTGTTCATAAACTGTGTACATCTGCTTATGGAGTTGGAGGACATGACAGTGTTAGGATGACAAGTTAGAGATTATGATTGGGGGGGGGGGGGGGGGGGCTTGAATAGAGCTCAAGCGGAAACTCATCAGGCGGCACTCAAACCATGTCCATTCTGGCAGTGGCTCTCAGTTCTGTCCGTGGCATGTCCAGGTTTCCCTCACAAACTCATCTCAGTCTGGAATCACATGATTTGAATTATGCTGAACTTGAACCAGTTATGCCACTAAGGAAGGTCATGGACTGCCTCTGATGAACATTCAGCCAATCAAGCGGAACTATCTGGAAATTTAAAGGAAACAGTTTTTTTTTTAAATGAAAAGGGTGAATTTTGAAAAGGTGTAAAATAATGTCTGACTTGATGACGTACAAGAATTGAAAAGCAAAAATTTAATCTATGTAGCAAGTTGACTGGATCAGTTCAAGATATTATAAAATAGAAAAGTTGATATTAAATTTAAAAGGGGAATGTCACAGGAGGTAGAAACAACTAATTGATTTTTTAATTAAATTTTTTAACCCATTAATGAAGAAAAATATTGTTTTCCTTTAAAACTGATTAAAACACATATTTTTGAATACAGAACTGTAGGTAGACAAAGCATAACATTGAAGGAATTCTTTAATAAAATGTTTCAATTTTACTGAAAACTGAATGCTCAATCTCTTTTCACCTACAGCATTTTATCATTTAATATCTTAAACAATGCAAACAAATGTTAGATTGAATGGGTTTTCTGTAAGCTTGAAAAACTACAATATTAAACAAAAATCTACACAAACGATAAAGCAGTATAAAGATAAAGTAAGAGGATGTATATATTTTTTTAAAGAGTTTTAATTTGTAAGAGATAAGTTGGAGAAAAAACAAACTAAATGAGCATTGTACATGACCTGGCGACACACCTTGGTAATAGTGTTTAACAAACATGTTTGAATTAGGACACATCATGGTAACTGTGTCTGACATGTTTACGTGGGGGACACATTTTCGTGGGTAATTGTGTTTCAGATGTTTAACTAGGGACACATCTTCACTAATAATTGTGTCTGACACATGTTCGCCCAGGGACACATTTTCACTGGTAATTGTGTCTCACATACACACTTAGGATTTCTAACCACATAGTCTTAGCCAAATCTTGATTTAAGACAATATGACCAACACATACTTTACATTTTGACCTGAGTTAAGACTACAGAGATCTACTGCTAAATATGCGTTAAAACGTTATGACCAGCTACCTAACTATGGGGCTATATTAATAGACATGTATGCCACTGTAATGGGTTGCTAGATCTTGGGTGCATCAGTTAGAGTTCAATGTACACACACACACACACACACATATATATATATATATATATATATATATATATATATATATATATATATATATATATATAAATATATGTGTTTATAAAAAATTGGGTGCATCAGATAGAGATAAATATACACACACACACACACACACATATATATATATATATATATATATATATATATATATATATATATATATATACTTATAAAAATTTGTGCTTGAAGAAAAGTTATTAGCGAGACATTCTAGGAACTTAAACTTATAAATTTGTGCTTGAAGAAAAATATTAGCGAGACATTCTAGAAACTTAAACATTTTCAAATTCAGTTACATCACTGAATGGCAAAAAAACTACAAAAAACAAGCATCAAATTAAAGAAAACAAACCAAAAAACCCCAAACATTCATTAATTTTCCAGAAGTTTAGAACATGCTGCACTCTGTAAGGCATGCCACACATTCATTATTTAACCAAACGTAATTTCCCAAACTACTTGACAGAAACCAGTCCTTGAGCTTATAGTAATTCTGCCCCCATCAGAATTCATAGCAACTATTTCTTCATTTCAAACTAATAACCTGTAAATATAACTACATCAGACCAACCTCCATGGCAACTACTGATAACCAGACATATCATACCCAGACATATACCCAGACATTTCATGATGAAATTATTTCAGATAGGAGATTGGTGTACAGGGCATCAATTATTACCTTTTAAACTTAGCCATATTTTTAGTTTAATCAGCTAATTAATTCACAAATAAAATTCCCCCCATTGCTCTCCCAGGTCCCAGGGCCCAAAAGGCATTACAATGTTTCTGATTGTTTTCTGTCTGGGGTATTTTCTGAGTTACCAAAAATTTTGTTGCATTAGATTTACACCCTACATCCCGATCAATAAAATCATACTTCCCGTTGCCAATCTCTGGGTCTTTCAATGCTGCCACAATAAAACCTTTGATATTTAAGTACAAACTTTTTGGTATTAGCTAAGATGAAGAATGGGTGTTTATTTTCTACATTCCTCGGCTGTTGATCAACGGTTGGTCAGTAGGTTATTGCTTCATTTACAATTTTGTTCTCTCTACCAATTTGAAAATTAAATCTAACCCGATATCTCCTTGGGACCAAGCTGGGAACCAAAGCTGCAGTTAAGATTAGGGCACACAGGAAACAATACTGTCTACATTAGGGAGGTTTAAATGGTATTGATGCATGAAACAGAATAGTGAAGGCCAAGAAAGAAAAAACTAAGATTTTATAAAATATATGTGTCACAAGCAAGTAGAAGGAAAATAAGGAAAGAGATGAAGAATTTAAGTTCAACAAGCCTGCAAATATTTGAATAAGTTCTGTAGTATTAAATCTAGACTACACCATTCCACTTCATTTCCATTACACTATCTTTCTACACAATATATGCCCCATACTAAGTGTGTATGATATGCATGGCGCTAGCTTACCTGGACGGTTGTGTTTGACATCTCCAAGGACTACCTATTGCAAAATGGGGGTGTATTTCTCATTAGTTCATATGCCTGGTTCAATTCTGGTTATCGCATCTCCTACTATCTCAGAGGGTTTCATTAGATGATTGGTAAAAATAACATCTACTATTATTTGCGTACTTACTGGGATAGGTTACTCAGAGATAGATATTGGTAATAACTGGGACTCAATGAGATTTAAATGGTGGAAATAACTATCTATTAGTTATCGCTTTTGTGCATAAGTCAAAAGATGCCCTTTGTTAAACAGCACAAAAGTTAAATAGATTACTTATGGACTTTACTCCGTCACTAAACGCTCATACACTAAACGGTCATACACGAAGATAAATTTGGACATGTCACAAAGCTATGGGGGATAACCCTTTTCCTCTGGTCAATTTTAAACTTTAAACTACCACTTTCACTAGTAGAGGATAATTGTGCTTCAGGGCAATGGTACAGGGTTGTTGAAAATGTATATTTTATAAAGAGTAGATTGCCTGAGCTTCTGTTCTGGACTAATTGTCAGACAAGAGCCATGAAATCTGTCCACTAAACATTAAAAATGGGAAAAAACATGTACGGCATACAACTTTGAAAACTGCACAACATACAATAAATTTCATAGAAAAAAAATATTTTAACAGGGAAGAAAAATAATGACCCGACTGACCAGTGTAAAAGAGATTATTATTATATATTGTTCCATCCTAACTTGTGCCTAAAGCCATTCAGTGATAGATTAACAGTTGTCAACAACCTGGGTGACAATTGGGATAAAACCATTTGGTGATAAAAGAAAGTGACAGTTGTCAAACAGCTAGAGTGACATTCAGGATAACTCAGCCAGGGTTTAAAAGGCATGCAATAAAAACAGTTTGACACATGGGTAGAAGACAAGAGCACTTAGTAGACAAAACTGTAAGCAGAAACATGCAAGACTTGGCAGGCATCAGAGAAAACTCCGCCTCTGCTCAGTATTAACAAAATCCCATAACTCCTCAAATTAAAAAATATACTTATAATATAAAAAAAATTTTTCACCACTTTCCAAAAACAGTAAAACCCCCCCCAACTGCGAGCAATTTGGTTTGAGAGTATTCCCCAAGACGAAAATTAGAAATAAACAAGTTTTGACATGATATGCAAGTGACATCTCGCCATGGAAGCCCACTGTGTGCGCAAAGCATCACATGCATTTTAATCCTATCATTTTTTATGTGAATATAATTGGTATGTGGTGTGGAACAAATCATCTGAGTTTTCATTATTTCTTATGGTGAAATTCTTTCTGATACAAGAAGACTTTGGATGACAAGTACTTTTCCTGAATGAATTATGCTCACAATCTCAGTTTTACTGTTTTAATTTTTTTTTTAATGAAAAAATATGAATGTGATGAATGAAACTAGAAACAGTAAACATCTTTGTTTGATTATGAACAATAAGTCCCCAAGCTTTTTCTTTACCCCCAGAAATTCACAATAAAAACTTGAATGTCTCCAGGAAGACATCTCCACTGTAAGGGTCAGTGTACATGTTTTGTAATGGTAGGTCAGGATGACCTTACCTTTTCACCTAACAGGATGGACAACCTCTCAGCGATTTCTTGGAAGCCGGCCTTGAGAGATTCATGATACTCTTTTTGTTCAGTGGCTATCAGTTTGGCGTTGAGGTCAAGGGCATCTTTGCAGGTCATCACAAAATCCCTGGAGACAACAAGGAAACAGTTTTAAACAGACTTCAGTCGGGCCGGGGCTCGTCTGAAGCAAGAGTTTGACATCTGCACACATCAACCTCACTGACTTAAATGACCAATTCAATGTGTCCCCCCATCATAGGATTCAATGAAACCTTGCTATACAAGAATAGATATCAACCTCATTTACCGCTACCAAAAGTAAACCTATTTCAACAGCTTCTGTTATTAAGTATCAAGTATTCACATTGCTATATCCATTTCAAACATTCTAATTTAAACCTTTCTATGGTGTTGCATTTTGTCTAAAATTTCAGGTTTTGGACACTGAATTGTATTTAAAATAGCTATGGGAATTTACTGATAAGCCAAGACAGTGGTTCCCAACATTTTTGATGCACAGAGACCTTTTTAGAATTAATTTCTGTGGGGTGGTCCCTTTGACCTAATATAAAAAAAAAGTGAACAGTTATTTTATTTCCTGAAGCCCCTGAGAAACTCCCGCCAATCACCAGTTGGGGACCACTAAGCTCACAAATTTTGTTATTGAAATTTACTTTCTTCATAGCTATTTAAAATAATTTTTAAAAAGTCTATAAAGTGAAATATTAAATTTATGAACAATTTGTTTCAATGTAATTTATAATTCTTTTCCCATCAAGCTGTTATTTTGTGTAGTGGCTTACAAGTCAATAACTCCAACACAGACTCTTACAAGTCAATAACACAGTCTCTTACAAGTCAATAACACAGTCTCTTACAAGTCAATAACACAGTCTCTTACAAGTCAATAACACAGTCTCTTACAAGTCAATAACACAGACTCTTACAAGTCAATAACACAGACACACACAAGTCAATGACTCTAACATAGTCTCACCTAAACACTGCTTTGAGTCTGTCACTTTTATCCACAGGATATTTGGCTATTTTCTCAGGGTCCAGGAAGGCCTCAGCATAGGCTAATGGACCTGCATTGACCTGGGGAAAAAAACAACAGCAGATATGAATGGAAGGAAATGGACACACCTTGGAACTGTGTGTAGGAATTTGAGGAAATAGAGCCCTAGCTTACCAGAGTGCTGACTCCTTACACTAGCTTACCCAAGTGCTGACTCCCTTTCTACCCCTAGCTTACCTATGTGCTGACTCTTCTCTATCCCTAGCTTACCTGAGTGCTGACTCCTCCCTGAAGCTTAAGTTGTAGACCAATCTTGTCTGGAACCGGGCTGTTGATGGCCTCCCTCAGGTCTGCGACCTTTCCCCTCATCTCATCAATGGCCACCTCAATGGGAGTGAGGACGACCTCCTTCCACCCTCCCTCTTTCACTTCAATCCTCTTCTTGACATAAGGGAACGAGTGGGCCGCTGAAGCAAACATTTAAAAAAGAACTGAATTCTGGACCGGACAGTTTCAATGTAACCCTAATTCTAGTAACAGTTTAAACCAACATGAGTCGCGTGGACATCTGAATGGAATCAAGTAGCCTACTTAGTAGGCAGATAACTTATCTTATGCTTTTTGTTAAGCCCCTAGCTAAATAAGAATATATTTTAGTAAGTCATGTGCAGGGGTGCATGATGTCTCCAAGATAATGGACACAGCAATTTTAACATTTTAACACCTGAGGCACACAGAAAAGGGGGAGGGGGGGGGGTTAGTGGTGTCTGGTTTCCGTTCATCTAAAATATTTAAAAACATCATCTGGAGGCATGAATGCAAACACAGTTAAGCACAATTTCAATATTTAATATTATGTTCTAAACAAAAAATATAAATGTTTACTTTATAATACCATACAAACAAGATGTTTGGGTGAAAGGGGGGGGGGCACATACAAGATGTTTGGGTGGAAGGGGGGGGGGCACATTTGTATATCATTAACTCTCAAAAAACCAGGTCTGAAAAACTGAAAATGGCTCAAGCATGCTACAAATTAAACTTACTGGTCACAAAGAAACCAACCATTTAATAATATGGATCCTACCAACTATATAAACCTACTGGTTATAATAATCCTACTGACTATATAAACCTACTGGTTATAATAAACCTACTGACTATATAAACCTACTGGTTATAATAAACCTACTGACTATATAAACCTACTGGTTATAATAAACCTACTGACTATATAAACCTTCTGGTTATAATAAACCTACTGACTATATAAACCTACTGGTTATAATAAACCTACTGACTATATAAACCTACTGGTTATAATAAACCTACTGACTATATAAACCTACTGGTTATAATAAACCTACTGACTATATAAACCTACTGGTTATAATAATCCTACTGACTATATAAACCTACTGGTTATAATAATCCTACTGACTATATAAACCTACTGGTTATAATAATCCTACTGACTATATAAACCTACTGGTTATAATAAAACCTACTGACTATATAAACCTACTGGTTATAATAAACCTACTGACTATATAAACCTACTGGTTATAATAATCCTACTGGTTATAATAAACCTACTGGTTATAATAAACCTACTGACTATATAAACCTACTGGTTATAATAAACCTACTGACTATATAAACCTACTGGTTACAATAAACCTACTGACTATATAAACCTACTGGTTATAATAAACCTACTGACTATATAAACCTACTGGTTATAATAAACCTACTGACTATATAAACCTACTGGTTATAATAAACCTACTGACTATATAAACCTACTGGTTATAATAAACCTACTGACTATATAAACCTACTGGTTATAATAAACCTACTGACTATATAAACCTACTGGTTATAATAAACCTACTGACTATATAAACCTACTGGTTATAATAAACCTACTGACTATATAAACCTACTGGTTATAATAAACCTACTGACTATATAAACCTACTGGTTATAATAAACCTACTGACTATATAAACCTACTGGTTATAATAAACCTACTGACTATATAAACCTACTGGTTATAATAAACCTACTGACTATATAAACCTACTGGTTATAATAAACCTACTGACTATATAAACCTACTGGTTATAATAAACCTACTGACTATATAAACCTACTGGTTATAATAAACCTACTGACTATATAAACCTACTGGTTATAATAAACCTACTGACTATATAAACCTACTGGTTATAATAAACCTACTGACTATATAAACCTACTGGTTATAATAAACCTACTGACTATATAAACCTACTGGTTATAATAAACCTACTGACTATATAAACCTACTGGTTATAATAAACCTACTGACTATATAAACCTACTGGTTATAATAAACCTACTGACTATATAAACCTACTGGTTATAATAAACCTACTGACTATATAAACCTACTGGTTATAATAAACCTACTGACTATATAAACCTACTGGTTATAATAAACCTACTGACTATATAAACCTACTGGTTATAATAAACCTACTGACTATATAAACCTACTGGTTATAATAAACCTACTGACTATATAAACCTACTGGTTATAATAAACCTACTGACTATATAAACCTACTGGTTATAATAAACCTACTGACTATATAAACCTACTGGTTATAATAAACCTACTGACTATATAAACCTACTGGTTATAATAAACCTACTGACTATATAAACCTACTGGTTATAATAATCCTACTGACTATATAAACCTACTGGTTATAATAATCCTACTGACTATATAAACCTACTGGTTATAATAAACCTACTGACTATATAAACCTACTGGTTATAATAAACCTGCGCTTGTGCTGCTCCTCGATGCTGCCTTGTTCCTTGCCCGACCGGGTGAAGGGGAGCTCATACATGAAGTTGCGTACATTGTTGTTACGCTCAAAGTCCGTCACCCTGTTGCCAAGATCAGTTTCCTCAAAGTACGGTGTTACGTAGATGATTTGTATGTAAGCGTACTTTGGGTCAAGTTCATTCGGGGTTAACTGAAAAGTCATGAAGATGTTTGCTTTTCATTTGTATAACGATCAATGCCATAAAGAAAACTATTTTCTATCCTGAAGCCATGACAGTTGACCTGCCATTTTTCTTGAAACAAAGCACTAAACAATCTGGATTAATTTAAGCAAAGCACTCAGACTCAGTCTGATGGAAGAAAAAAAAGGTGTGTAGGGTAGTCTCACCTTTTTTGAATCGTTTATCATCTGAACATTGTCTCGACCGAATTTCTCATTAAACAACTTGTGCAGCCTGTCTCTGATTTCTGTCAAGGTTGTTACCTTTGGCTCCTTGTAGATATACTCTTTCTTATCTTCATCTTCAAAATAAGTCTGAGAATAGAGTAAACATTTGAGATTTAATGAGAAGTAAGTCTGAGAATAGAGTAAAAACATGGGATTTATTGAGAAATAAGTCTGAGAATAGAGTAAACACATGGGATTTATTGAGAAATAAGTCTGAGAATAGAGTAAACACATGGGATTTATTTAGAAATAAGTCTGAGAATAGAGTAAACACATGGGATTTATTTAGAAATAAGTCTGAGAATAGAGTAAACACATGGATTTATTGAGAAATATCTGAGAATAGAGTAAACACATGGGATTTATTGAGAAATAAGTCTGAGAATAGAGTAAACACCTGGGATTTATTGAGAAAAGAGTCCGAGAATAGAGTAAACACCTGGGATTTATTGAGAAATAAGTCTGAGAATAGAGTAAACACATGGGATTTATTGAGAAATAAGTCTGAGAATAAACACATGAGATTTATTGAGAAATAAGTCTGAGAATAGGGTAAACACATGGGATTTATTGAGAAATAAGCCTGAGAATAGAGTAAACACATGGGATTTATTGAGAAATAAGTGAGAATATAGTAAACACATGGGATTTTTTTTAGAAATAAGTCTGAGAATAGAGTAAACACATGAGATTTATTGAGAAAGTTATGTACATTTGATAGAACTTCTCCACTTAAATCCAAACAATAATGTTTTTCACTTATATCTAAAAAAATCTGAGTTTTTAAAGTTTCTCCTCACAAAGCAATTAGTTTGCTCTATGATCAATTAGAAGAGAATGTCCCCTTGTTTACATTATCTTACAGAACACAAAATTATAACATTATTAAAGTTAAATTAATAACTACATAAAACAATAGATGACTTTAGAATGAAGGTGAGTGGAATGTTTATGACTGCAATCTTACCGGGCCATACAGGGTGACCAAGTAGTACCTCCCTAACAGTCTCTTGCCTGTCTTCATGACATCCAAGACACTTGCGTAGGCCTTTGCCAGATACTGGTAACTTCTCTCCAATTTCTGGTGTGACAGATCAATTCATTAATGGAAACATAAGACATGATTCAATATTTAAAAAGGGGCCTTGAACTGATCTAGATGTGAAAGATTAGAAACAAAATATAATTTACAGGTTTAATGATAAACATAAAACATGGTCACATCAAAATGGCTTGAGACAAATTGGCCTTGACAAACCGGCTCGCCAAAAGGGCCCCCCAAAAAATGGCCCCATCAATTAATACCCTGATAAAAGGGCCCCTATCAATAAGCCCCATATGGCTCCCCACGAAAGGGTCCCTGAAAACATGGCCCCCAACAAAATAGCTCTTGACAAAAATGCAGCCCCCCCCCCTCCCCCCTTTAAAAAGCTTTATAACAGAATTGCATCATGCAGGGCCTCGAACCACTGTGGGGAGGGGTATGAGAAATGTGTAACTTATATTTTTGGTGTGTATTTAAGTTATCTAAAATTTAACAATAGTTAATATCTTTTTGGTTTTGGCAAAACTTTATCGGTTTTATGGATCTGATTCAGACCAGCAATAGGATTTTATAATGCATTCTCCAATGGTCCTGAAAGCAGCAAAGTTTCACAACCAACTGATTTCTGTTATGGACATGTTATAATGCATTCTCCAATGGTCCTGAAAGCAGCAAAGTTTCACAACCAACTGATTTCTGTTATGGACATGTCCTTCCATGAAGTACGTCATGCTCTAGGACCAGGGGAGGGTAGGCTTTTGTCAGCTGACATTTTGTCGTGGGCCCAGTTCTTTGGGCCCTTTTGACTGGAGACTAATAGATGGTGGCCTTATTGTTGGGGACCAAAATGACTGGGGCACTTTTGTTGGGAGTCACATTGTCAGGGACCTTTTTGTCTGGGCCAATTTTGAATAGGACGGGGACTGATTTCTTGGTCTGTATTGTCTGGGCCAAACTGATGGTGCACCCAATATCACACTACTATTTTGATTGCTTTAATACACCCAAACTGTACGCCTATCATCAAATTCTGTAACAAAACAACTAATACCAATACAATCTTTAAATGTTCTGGGCAAATAAATTTTAATTCATTGGGATAATTTTGTATAGATCAATCAAGTGAGATTAAACCCAAACTCCCAATAATAAATAATATCATTGTTTAAATAAAGTCTACTCAAGGTATTTTCAAGTAGAGAGATGAATTATTATCAAAATAAACAAAGAAAGACAAAACTAAATTGAAAAAAAAAGCTTCTGTTAATATAAATATTAGTCTAATGAAAATTATATATGTCAACTTCAAGACAATTAATGTGTTACACATCCTGCACTATAACAGACTCTATATAATTTATATATGCATATGTGTATGTATATATATATAATATGCATGCCCTTCCCCCTTTATAAGACTCAATAAGACCTGTTTTTATTTACATATGCTGCCAAGGAGGACAGCAACAATCCTTCAGTTAGGAGCATATAAAAATTCCTTGGACACAAGTTGACAAAGGTGCAGTCAACAATTTCAAGTAACACTATCCAAATATAAAACTACACCGTACCTGAAAGTTTCTTGTTTTCTCATAAATGGGAATGATCAGTTTGTAAATGTCACCAAGAATCTCAAATCTTTGAGCTTTTTCCAGCAGCTCTGATCCCTTTTCAAGGAATTCAACCAACGTTTCCTGGAACCAGTCAAAATTAGTGATACAAAAATATTAAGGAACAAAAAAAATCATGATTGATACAACAATACAAAGATAAAATGATTGAAAAGGGGACATCTATAATGACATCATGATATTTTGGACGGTCATCACAAATTTTAACCCTAATTAGACACTTTTATCCCACATTGTCACAAATTTTAACCCTAATTAGACACTTTTATCCCACATTGTCACAAATTTTAACACTAATTAGACACTTTTATCCCACATTGTCACAAATTTTAACACTAATTAGACACTTTTATCCCACATTGTCACAAATTTTAACACTAATTAGACACTTTTATCCCACATTGTCACAAATTTTAACACTAATTAGATACTTTTATCCCACATTGTCACAAATTCATGGGTGACATCATTTATGGTGGACACCTAATATATACATAAAATGATACAATCATCAAATGATAAATTATTGCAAACATAAAACATACAATAATGACACAAAGAAATGATAAATTATCACAAGCATAAAACACACAAACATAAAACACACAATAATTTTTTCACTTCCTGTAATCTTGGTTTTGGAAAATCTAACTTTTAGCAATAACAATGGCCATCACCTGAGTTTTTAACTAGTTTCTATTTCTTGTCGTATTTGTCTGCTGAGGAAGGCTCTTAACCAAAACGTCCACATCTTATTGTCCTGAATTTTGATTCAATCTTCCACACACCTTGTGCTGCTATTTTAAACAAATGTTACATTCAAAAATACAAAAAAAAACTCTACAACAATTCAAACCCATACATTATTTTCAATGGTCATTTGAAAAGATACCTCTGAATACTGGACGTCCTGCATGCCACTGTCATCCTTGATCCCCGCCTCCTCCACAACAATATTCGATGAGATAAAGCCAAAGGATGAACATCCTTGTGGGTAACTCCCTGAAAAAATTCATCCTTCAATATTGATAGGTATTTCAGCTGCTGAGTCATGCAGACGCATCAAGTGTCAGACAGCAGGATTTTCTCAATTAAACTAATTTACCTGAATCCCACAAACCAACATCCCCATAACAAAAAGAAATTAATAAAAAAATAAAATAATAGCTAATTATTTAGTCAAATTAATATGTAACTCTTTTTATAGATTACAATTTTTAATGTTTTAAATGCTCTGGACAAAAATGTATTTAAACGGTTTGAATCAGATATTTGAGATGCTCTGAATAAAATGTTTGAAATGCCATGGATACTATAACTGCTTTAGCTGCCTTTAGTCTTTGCTTCCTATATTTCAACATGACACAATTGATCTCAAATATTGATGAGATGGAAGCTTAGAAAGGGAATGTTTAGACTCAGAGTTGAATATGTTTTGTTAAATTCATTAATGGAAAAATATGAGGAGGAAACAGAAACATATAAAAGGATAATTAATATCAGAATTAGTCATTACTTTAAAAAAACTGCTGCAGCTACTCAATACTAAATTACTAGCACATTTTACGCAAGTCAATCAACTAGAAGCAGTATTGGATGAAGATTTTTGCTCTCCCTGTCACTGCATACGCATATAGCCAAAAAAACAACATACAATAACTACAGTCCTCTGTACTTAGAAATGCAGTCATCATAGCAGCAACATTCTTTATTTATGGTATTAAATTTAAAAAAAACAATTTTTCAAGTTCACTTTGCGCAATGACACCAACATATGGTTAAGAAATGAAACTATCAAAGCAGCACCGAAACAGGTCTCCAATAAAAGCTCTATACACCTTGAAAATGATTAAACAGCTCATTTGAGGTGTCTATGAGACATGGACAACTAAACCATCCTTTGCTACACATCATAACACATGCTCAGCCTACAACAGCTGACAATATAAGCACAAGAGAAAAACACGTCAAGGCAGTGGACCAGACAACATCAAGAAAACTGATGGGGGTTAATTAACAGAAGAATAATTCTTGGTGGATTCCTGTCTGTAAACACTGAAAGGTCAAGGTAAAAAATGTAAACAAAATTCATTTGATAACATCTCAACTTATCGGTGGTCAAATTGGAAGGAATAATCCAGGCTTTTGCAATTTAAAAAAACCTGCACCTCATTTATAGGTTTCTGTATAGTAAGATAGTGTGCTAAAAAAAAAGTTAAGTTCTCATAATTTAGTTGAATGGAGATGTCACATTATGAAAGACTTTTTGAAGTCGTTCTAGAATGTCATTCTTTTTTTTTTTTATATATACCCGGGATAAAAGTTTTAAAAATAAAAGCGTCTATAGTAATTTTGAGAAATGAAATGTTAAGCTGGTAGTGCATTCATCTAAGGTCTCATTGAACCGTTGTTGGAGACCTTGATGGACACAGCTCCATGAACATAGAATGTTTGTGAGAGGAAAAGATACCAATTAGTAAAGTAAGATATTGTTGAATATGTTGGATTTTACAAACTCTAGTTGAACTCATCTATCTGGGAAGTGGAAGGTCGTAACTGGAGGGATTTTAAGAGGGAGGGGAAGGGAGGGGAAGGAAAAGTGTGCCCCTCCCCTTTTCTGGTGACAGCTGATTGGGTCTTGAAAAAAAAAAAAAGAACTGTTCAACGTTTGTCACCCTCCAATATTGTTTGGTCGTTTGTTCCATAACCTCAGTATCATAGGTTCTGTTGTTTAATGTTTTGTTAAGACTACAAGAAGAAACTTGGACAGTTTGAGTAGATCATGCTGCATAAATAGACTCAGGTTTTTTTTCATTACACTCATTTAGTTCAGCAAGGTAACGAATGCCGTGAGAGGAAAGAACAAAGAACTGGGCACAAAAGTGATCAACAAAAGTTTTTCCACTTATATTTAAAAACAAAATTATAAAAGAGTGTGAGAAGAGCAATAAGTAATAATTAGGAGTTAATGTTTATGATGTAGCAAGAGTTAGAGTTCGGCCATGAACACCGTCCAAAATGCACTCATCACAAAACTGTGGTCGACTTACTAGATTTTAATTTCCCTGTTGAGAACAAGTGAGCAAGTCTAAGGTATAGTTGCGACTGCATAAACTTTTGTTGTGCATATAAATGATTTAAACGAACAGGAATGAAAGTAATATTGTTTTAAACGTCACTTGAAAAACTGCTGTGAAAATGGATCTACTTTAGCCTTACTAAAGTCAGAGTTACAATATCAATATTCCTTTGAGTCAAAACTCATTGTTGAGTGCATGATACTATTATTATCATTATTATTATAAGTAAGGGGAAGGCTTTAGTTCATTATTGATTGATAGCAACAGAAATTATTTTAACCAAATGTAAGTCACAAAATATGGGCAGCAGTTTTTATCAACTAGAATACAATGAACTTGTTCAGTTTTAAAAATAACCGATTGATCAATTACATTTTTTACCATTAAAAAGAACAAATGATCACAAGAATTTGTAAATTATTCATAAAGTAAAAAAAATTGAAAAAAACAACAATACAAATAAAAAAAAACAAAAAACAAAAACACCAAACAAAAAAAGGCAAAACTAAATTTCCTGAAAGTTTTTGTGAAAACATCCCGAAAAAGCCCATTTGAAAATTTAAATAACAGTAAAACCATTGAGACATAAAGCTGCGTGAAGACAAAACCCAGCTTTGACAAACAAAATATAAGATAGTAAGAAACAAAGCTTTTTATAGTAACTCTCAAAATAAGAAAACAAAAAAGTGCAGTCATCAAATCAAATTTTGCACATCAAAACTCACCTCTTCTCTTCAGATACTCAGCTATCAGGGCGGCTATGTGGATGTAGCACATTCCAGCCTGGGTCAAGATGAAACAACATGTAGATTTAGAGCTTTTATCAAAATCAGAAATTTACAGAACTCATTGGATTAAAAAAAATATTTTGGTGTCAAGAATTACAATTGACATTGTATTTTTCTTTCAACTTCAAAGAAAGGAAAACTTTAAAAAAAAATGTCTTTCTTTTCTGAAACTGTCTTTGCTTGTTCACCATCTCTGACAAACTGGAGGTATAAGATGTTGAAAATAGTGGAAATACATAAAGCTGCTGTCATTAGGTGATCATTTGATAAGTAGGAATTAGACATTTTTAATTACAAAATATTTTAAATTCTGGTTTTAAATTAATTTTTTCTGTGGAACCCCAATGAGGCCTTGGCGGAAACCCAGTGACACAGTGTGGGAACCACTGATCTAAGACAATTAACTGTTTGATGTTTCCATAAGACTATACATTCTCTATAAGCTAATTTAATTCAACCCACAAACCTCAGAATAATCCCCTCGTCTCTGGTGCAGTTTCCCCATAGCATCCAGCCAGGTTTTTCTCAGTTCTGGTGTGCTGGCGTATGATTTGGCCAGGCTGTACTGCAAGTCAACAAGCAGTTCAGGGTCATTCTCATTTTCTTTCATCTGGGCCGTGGCCATCAGGACCGTTCTGATCCTCTTCGTCAGGTCCCGCACTTCCCCGGGGAATGGGGTTTTCTTGAAGGCAGAAACGAAAACCATTGAGATCAAAGTCATAAGAAATGGGCTTCATCACTAAGGCTCTAAAACCATTGAGATCAAAATCATAAGAAATGTGCTTCATCACTAAGGCTCTAAAACCATTGAGATCAAAGTCATAAGAAATGTGCTTCATCACTAAGGCTCTAAAACCATTGAGATCAAAGTCATAAGAAATGTGCTTCATCACTAAGGCTCTAGCAGCAACTACCATAACAGGACTCGTTTACATGTAGTTTGTATTTTGGTTTTTGACAGAAATGTTAGCCTAGGAAACAAAATTCAGTTCATTAAAATACATCTTAACAACAGTTCAAACATTTAAAAAGTTAAGAAAATCAAAATGTTAACAGCCAATGAATAGTCTGGCTCTGCCATCTTTTATCTGCACAAACAAATAGTCTGGTTCTGCCATCTTTTATCTGCACAAATAAATAGTCTGGCTCTGCCATCTTCTATCTGCACAAACATTTCTCAGTATCTTGTTGTTTTTCTGCAGCTTAAAGGGACACTTCTAGTTCAGACCAAAACATTTCAAAGGAAGGAATATATTAAGGCACTGCAATATCATGTATTATAGCAATTTTCCAGCATTCTCACTGATAATATACATAAAAACTTACATTGAACTGTCAGATACTCCACATTACTGGACAGGCATAAAGATAACTGCTATGTTCTAGCACAGAGATAACTATGCTCTAGCACCAAGATAATGACTTTGCTGCTAATACTGACACAGCAAGTTGTTTTTACTATCACTCAAGTTCCATATTTAAACAAGGCCACATCAAAGCCTAGCGTGCCTCAAGCAACGGGCCCTTATACACGACCTCATTGTTTAACCACTAAATCCTCTCTACCCTATCAGTGAGTCACTTTTCCTAACCCCATGGTTTTATTTACTATGATTGCCCATCTATTGGGAGCATTTCATTCATGCTGTGTGGCCTGTCGCAGAAGATGGATGATCGGTTCGCATGATATGCCCCCCCCCCTCCCCCCCCCCACTTCTCACCAACCAACAACCATCATCCAAGTTACTTAACTTTTAGGTCACTATAGAAATATTTCCCTGACTGATTTGTATTCAAACAATTTTATTTTTAAAATTCTCTAGTTTGACCATTCAAAGATTTACTTTCAAATTAGTTAGGTCTATATCTTTTTGACATTCTACAAAAATAAATAAATAAATTAGTGTTTAAACAGCTGGAAGAAATTAATTTTTTTAAACCTAACAATTCTGTAAAGCCTTGTACTAAGTTTAGCCTTACAGTAGAGAAGTAACACAAAGGGGGGTAAATACAATACAATTCAGCATAACTCATGGAGTTTAGAGTTCAGGTGAAGAATTTATGGTAAAGTCATATTGTGTCACTGGAACTCTCTAAACTGTAGTAAAAGCATATTGTGTCACTGGAACTCTCTAAACTATGGTAAAAGCATATGGTGTCACTGGAACTCTCTAAACTATGGTAAAAGCATATTGTGTCACTGGAACTCTCTAAACTATGGTAAAAGCATCTTGTGTCACTGGAACTCTCTGAATTATGGTAAAAGCATATTGTGTCACTGGAACTCTCTAAACTCAAAAGTAGAATATTTAAAAAAACACATTTTTTCCCTCCAAATTTATGAAAATCTAGGGCTTCCCAATGACCTGTAAAATATTTGTAAAATTGTCTGAGGGTAAGTACGTTCTCTGTCACAAGGTTTATGGGGTTTCCTGTAAAATGTGTACAACTAGACTTATAGTTACAGCAACGATTGATTATTTTGTAGAAATTTAATGAAATTAAGCTCTAAATAATGACTAAAAAACCCAGCATGTTTTGCCATCATTAAATCAATGCACAAGCTTAATAAAATGTATGGAAACAGTATTTGAATTGCCATATCAGATAAGCATAATGCTGGTTCATGTGTACAACAGGAATATTTAAAAAAAACAAACATAATCAACATACCAATTCATAACATTTCCACTGTAATTGGTTCTTACTCTGTCTGTCAAGGTGCTACACCCTAACACAATACATGGACCTAAACATCACGTAACATTTCCACTGTAATTGGTTCTTACTCTGTCTGTCAAGGTGCTACACCCTAACACAATACATGGACATAAATCACACAAATCAGAAGCCCAGCATAAAACGAATTTATTCAAGTTATCATGCAGATATGTGTCTCTGCAATCACACTAACTTACACAGTTCTAGGTCAGAGGCACCCCCCCCCCCATATGCCCCAAGTTCTAGGTCAAACCTCCCCCAAGTCCTTATCTTTAATATGGGATGAAATGAAGGGAGTTCCAAATGAAAAGCTATGTATAACAGACCTTGGGACACTAAACTATGACTTTGACCAGGAACACAGCATGAATATTTTCACCACAATTAGGCCATAGAATACTTCAAGGAAGTAAGTTGACCTAATCCTGTCTTGATAGTTAAATGTTCAAAAGAAAGTGTAACCTGGTTAAACCAATAATAAATGCATGCAGACCCCCCCCCCCCGCCCCAAATAAAAACCCATTCCATTGTTAACTGCCCCTATATTTAAAAAGAAATCCCAAAAATTAATAAAGACTTGAGCCATCTATCCACCCCCACACACACCCCCTCTCCGTTTTCCCCAAAATCTTAAGTGCTTTTATTTTTTTACAAATGTATTTTCACAATTCTTGAACAGATCAAATGAAGACTAACTGCAACTGTTAGGAACAAATATTTAAGTTGTGGGAACATTTTTTTTATGTCGTGAGTGTTACAGTTACTGGCTACCCAATCTTCAAAAGGTGATCAGTCACATGAGTGTTACAGTTACTGGCTACCCAATCTTCAAAAGGTGATCAGTCACATGAGTGTTACAGTTACTGGCTACCCAATCTTCAAAAGGTGATCAGTCACATGAGTGTTACAGTTACTGGCTACCCAATCTTCAAAAGATGATCAGTCACATGAGTGTTACAGTTACTGGCTACCCAATCTTCAAAAGGTGATCAGTCACATGAGTGCTACAGTTACTGGCTACCCAATCTTCAAAAGGTGATCAGTCACATGTGACAGGGTCAGGGAAAAAAAAAAGAATCCATAGAAAACATTTGACAGATAATCAATAGATCTACATATATTTTGTATTTTCCTTAGTCTGGTAACTACATTTTTAAGTAAATAAAAATAGTTACTTAAATCCAAAGAATTGTTAAATAAATGAATATTTAAAAAAAAAAATTTAGAATGAAAGTTCAAAATTAAAATATTATAAAACAAACTAAAGTCATAAAAAAAAACCCAACGATTAAAAATCAATCTTTAACTATGACATTAAAAATTATTTCTTTCCTAACGCACTGTTTCTATTGGGAGAAATACATCTCTAAGTCAAAATTTCACACGTTTTTATTTTAGTTTCTTTAATGTTAAGGCAGAGATCTTATTTTAAATCTTTATGTTATGAAAAGAGTTTTACATGGGGAAGGACAAATGTTTCATATAAAAGTCCTTCTTTGTTTAGTTCTTTTAAATAATCTATTCGCTTCATCTCTAACAAACAAAGTGAAGTAACTCCAACCAAACCCTCCATCCATTTCAAGATGGTTATCTCCCTAACTTTTACCTACTGCAAAACAGTTGGTTTCAAAATTTTCTAGCATGAAATATTATCATATTTTTCTAATTTCTTGGGCAAAGTAACAAGAAAAATAAATGTTGCTTCCCTAGATTAAAATAATTCAAATTTCAACTTAAAAGTAAATTTTTAAAAAATCTGTTAACTACATGATTTTCATATTGCATAAATCGAGAATGAATCAAACTTTAAAATGTGCAGAAACGTGAAGAAATGACACTGTCTGCCAAATTTTAACTCTCTGGGCAGGAGTCTGCATACTTTTTTTGAGGAGGGGTGGTATGAAGATCTTGTCAGACTCTGGGGGCCTGATGGTTGTCATAAACCATATAGGCCCATATTACTATCTGAATATTTCACACATTTTTATTCTATAAAAATGAATATTCAAAGCATGTAAGAACAAACTTTTTTCCTTGTCTAAATCAACTAAATGTAAAATGAAGCAAGAAATTATTGCTTTTATCACACATATTCCATAGATTTATTGAGACTTGAGATTTGATAAAATATTGTTCTAAATCAGTAAGAAGTGTGAAGACAGTGCTTTTTGACATAATGCCAATTATTCTAGGCTCAAAGTTAGTAGTTCCTGTGATCAAAATTGCTGGCAAGTACTCCATCAATAGGTTAACAAAAGACTGAAATTACTTCATGAGCAAAGGCTGTTTAATGAGCCTGTAACCTGGGACCCATTATTTCAAGTCCATCAGTGTCACCACTGTGTTTCTGTCTTTCAAAATATCATTGGGCTGCAGACTGATCCCTTCAATTTAAAGTTCAGCTCACAGCTCATCAGCAATGCTAGGTTTCAAAATGTTCTTATTTTTGTTGCACTTCCATCTAGATCAGAAAATGATCCTGAAACTGCTGTCTTGATTCAGAAAGCACTAACTGCACAAACTGGCATGGGAATCAGAAAGCACTAACTGCACAAACTCGCATGGGAATCGGCCTCTCGCTTCTTTAGCAAATTGGAAGCGCGAGAACATTAATTTTTTCCGAAAGGCATTTAAATTGGCGTATATGTCCAAGACAAGCTTGCGCCGCCTTGTAATCTAAGATTCAGTTCGTTCATTTTTTTGGTCAAACCTACACAAAAAAAAAAACAACAACTAATTTCCAAAGCAATTCCCTATTTTAAAGGAAAATTTGAGATCTTAATATCCGCACTGAGATATAAAACTTTGCATCAAAATCTTTTCACAACGGAGCCGACTGACAGAATTGGTGGTACTGATAATTGAAGCCATGGAGGTGAATGACACTCCATGTTTTAACCCCAGCATATAACAAATGTGCTAGCTTGCAGACTTTATGGGCTACTTTCAAATAGACAAAATAGGCTACTTTCTACTCATAGAGCAAATAGACTTCTTTCTACTCTTTAGGAAATAGTCTACTTTCAACTCTTTAATTTCATCCTTTCTAAATTGCACTGATCAATGCCTTTGTAATCCCCCCCCCCCCTCCGGTCTAAGCATTCTAATGCACAATTGCCAATCCTTCAGATTGTCACTTCAAAGATACTATTACTCTGATAAGCCCGAGTAGCTAGACGGATGTGACTCATGGGCCTTACTTGTCCAATCCCTTGTCTAGGATACAGAGAAATGTTTAAAATTGGTCTAAAAAAGTTGAAACATGAAACGAGCAGAATGTGTTCATGTCAAGTTACATAAAAGGGGATAAGAAAAGATTATATGCTTGTATTCTAAAAGAACACACTTTGGTGAAGAAACTATTATTCTAAATTTAAATAGAGTTCAACAAAACAATAATAATTTTTTATTAACCTTATATTTTTAACAAAATAAAGTCTTCAGAGAAAACTTTATTTGTATATTGTTCTTTATGAAGTGGAGCCAAAATTAAAATATTTAACATTTAGGGGTGTTCCTTGATGTCAGCTGGGGTGCTGAATATTAAGTTTTTAAAAAAACTGACTATTCAGACAAAGCAACATTTTAAATTGCAATTTAAAGGCGGTTGTAAACATCAGCAGTTATCTCCCCTGCTATCACCTGTTAGTTGTTCAGAGACATTTACATCTATTATCATAATAAAAGTTTAACATTGTGTCTAGTTAATACATTCAAAGTCTCAGTCTAAAATGAAGATACGTTATTCATTATTAAATAAGAAATTAGTTCTATAAATAAATAAATCCTTTTTGAAAGTCTAAGTAATTTAAGTAATATTTTCAAACTTTAACAAACTTGTCATAACATATATTTTGCATATCCAATCCATACAGAACACATTTTGTCCATTGAACAAATAAATTCTGTCAATAAAAGAGCCACATAAATTCAAATTAAAATGAAGCACACCCGCCAGATTAATTATTTTAAAATCTAAGAAAGACTCATTTCTAGCACCCATCCAGAAATAATAATAGAGAAAGACATTCTTGAAGATGGAATGCACAATAAAGCTGATTAAAAACACTTCCATGTTCAAGTTTAGACAGTAGAGCCATGTAACATTATCATGATCTGCTTTATTTTGATGTCTGAGCTCTTCAGACACATTCAGTCTGATTTTTGCATGTACTTTTGTCTGCAGGCATTTCATGATGAGATGATAACAGGAAACCTTCTCCCCTACCCTACCTTGTCATATTTTATATACTACATAAGAAGTATGTGGGGTGAGGACAGCAGGCGGATATAATATGAATGAATAGCAGCCCTCACCAGTGAAATAGAATTTTTCTTTTATTTCATCTAAAACAATAAACATTGTCTGAAGCAGGGGATCAGCAACATTTTTTTTTTCATTTGAGGAGTCATTTTTATAAATTATATCTCTTAAAAAAAAATATTTTTTAAATGTCATTATCAATTAGTAAAAGAGTTGCATCTCTCCTTTCAAACAGCCTCATGTGGCCCCAGAGCCACTCATTGCCAAACACTGGTCTAGAGGTTGCAATCAGTTTAGATACAAGGAAAATCAGAATGTAACTTAAATGTAAAATTCAGATAGAATCTTTGAGCTAAATTTAAGATAGATGTTTTAGCAATATAACCAAACCATCTGATTTATAATGACAGTGGTTGTCATTATTTCATTTTGCATATATCTCTGAAGCCAGTAACAACCTCCTTATAACAGCCACACAATTGAACAGTGAAGCTCAAGATATAAACATGACTCATTCCATACAAGAAAAACATGTAACTCAATCTATGAACCTTTTTCATTTAACTTAATTCATATAAATAAAAAAGGAGCAGCAGCAATATTTTTTTTACTATGAATCTGCATCAACTGAAAATGAACAGTATCCCGAAGATGCTTTCAATGAGTCTCACTGAGTTAATGTATCGTTATGTGGTCAATGTAACTTACAGCTGTTTCAGGAAACAATTTAGCAATTCTTGAACTAAATAATTCATGTCATTGGTAAGGGAGTGTGTCACAGTGCATAGTCCAATCAAGCTAACTACTACTAACAAGTATTTATCATATCTTTGTATAATTCAAAGTTAAAGTGGGAATAGAGTTTAAAGCTTGCTTTACTGGATCAGATGAAGCTTGTTAATTTTTCTTTTTTTAATCAGCATAAAATTTAAATACAAATAATAACAACATAACTGAAAGAAATGAAAGGTGGCGGTATGCAAAGTATAAAGCAATATTGAAATGGGTTACGGACTAAGCTAGCACTGCAGCCTTGCTAGAGAACAAGAACATATACTAGAGTGAGGAGATTCCACACAATTAAAATAATTCTTGCTTGCAGGCTTAGTGTGGGAATAGATTTTTGCAATGATTAGAACTATGATAAACGTTAAGTCTCAAAACTGTGTTTAAAAAAATAACAAATCAAACAAAAAACAAAACAAAAAAGATTAATAGAGGCTATGTTATGATAATAAAGATTCAATTTTGAGATGACAAACTATATACTATCAAAATCAAAGCAATAGTAATATTTTTTAAATTAAGAAGAAATAACATGAAATTTCATGAACGGCTTCCCCAGAAGATCATAAATACTGCAGATTATCCCAAAAGAATTATTGTAAATTTGAAGAAAAAAAAAGAAAAGAAAAAAAAAGAACCAAAAGTGACTAAGATAATCTAGGAGAAGCTGTACAAAAATCAAGTCACTCACTGTAAGTTCCTTCTGATCTAAATGCTGAGGCAACAAGAACAGGATGAGAAGCTAAATTAATCTTAGAACTAGCTAATATAATCTTCTAACTGGGATTATTTTTAACTATATTTAAAATAGCAAGATATTGTTGATTCCCCAAAAAATTGAAACTAAAATTTAAAAAAAAAAGAAGGGAAAAAAAACAAAAACAAAAAAACCAAGCCATCCAAGAATATAATGAGTGTTGGTCAAGACTATAATTAGATACATTTCAATAATAAGTATAGAAATAAATTAAAATAATTATTTTATTTGTTAGACAAATATTTCTTTAAATTTTCAACTTAAACAAAAAGCATTTCTGCCAAGAATGGATTACCTGAAAGTCATGCTAAACCCACCTGAACCTATTTTAACAAGTATTATGTCATAGCAATGTTATACTGAACGTCTGTCATAGCACAAGTTATACTGAAAGTCTGTCATAGCAATGTTATACTGAAAGTCTGTCATAGCAATGTTATACTGAAAGTCTGTCATAGCACAAGTTATACTGAAAGTCTGTCATAGCAATGTTATATTGAAAGTCTAACAGTTGAGACTAGTAGGCTGGAAATGTGTTGTGAAAGCTTAAGGCTAAATAAACTCAACACAGTCCATTTACAGCTTGCATAGTAAATAAAAAATGATAGAAGCATGCACAACTTCTGAAAGGTTCATATACATGTAACACTGTTCCTAAGAGTTAAAAAAAATATTTTTATATTGAAAATTGAAGGTATGGACATAAAATGAAATGCTGTAGTTACCTGTATACTCTTGTCGCTGTTGGCATAGTTGTTGACGATGGCCAGGCTTTCCTGGAAGCGTGTCGTGCTGAGTCCAACGACAATGCCGATCAGTTGGGACACAGAAATGATCACCTGAGGGGTATTTTGTTGAAACATTTGCTTTCACAAGTCACAACTGATACAGCCGTAATGAAAAAATTTGAACTGGTTGATAAGTGTTTTGTTTTGGGTTCAACCCTCTATTATCTGAAACTTAACAGTGTGCTAAATGCACCATTGCCAAACACATCATTTGTTGGTGGGGGACGGAACATGGCAAATCAGAAAAAGGAAATAAAATGTAATAGATATTATTTCAAAATATGTCTAAATGAACAAAAGAAATAAAGAACAAGTTTCACCAAACACATAAAATTTTTTGAAAAAGTTCATGAGGCAAAATATTTATAATCTGAAATTGCTTTCTGCACCTACAGGAAGTGTTGAAAGAGTCTTAATCTGGAGTTACAGTCACTGGTGCATTTCCCATGTTGTCAAAAGCTTTGTTTTTTTTAAAGGCTTTCTCCTAAGTCTGCTTTTAGAAAAGTTAGCATCTCGTACCTCATAAGGCTATTTAGCCTCATTGTTTCACAGCAAGACATCAGCTTCACAGTCCTACATGTAGTTGAGGTTTCTACGTTTTGTGCATATTTCCCCGTCATGAAGATACGTCTGTCCAGTAGATATGCCTCTAAGGGAAGTTTCCCATGCAGAAGTCATTGTGAAGGTGTTTTCAATGAGAGTGGACATGCTGGGCATATTCTAAGGCAACACTATTGGTTACTTGGGTGGCCCAGTGGCCTAAGCTGAGTCAATCCCAAGCTAGTGGACTGGAGTTCAAGCCCCCAACAAAAGCAAAAGCATCATCAGCACACCCGGGTGGATGGGACTCGTTAACCTTGGATCGCAAATCATCTAAGAGAGGAGAAACTCTAAAATCGAACTCGGAGATTCAGTCCCATAGGCAGCATATTGACACAATCAAAACTCTGACAACTCCTGTGATGTTGAATGCATAAAGTGGACAGTGATACACACAAGACACACCGCTGGTCATCTGCTGCATCCTAGTCTATGTCCAGTCGTCCTCACAAAGTCTGGCCATTTGATCAAATTCTTTTTATTAAAGAATTTAATAAAGAAAATACAGCTCAAGTCAAGGCTACTGGTCAAGTTAAGGCTACAGCTCAAGTCAAGGCTACTACACAGGACAAGCATTGTCTTGGTCATCTTCCCCCCTGCGAAGGATGAACAATTTATCTCAGGTGAAAGCTGTTGAAACATAAATCTCAGGCAAAAGCTATTGAAATTTACATTTCAGAAGATAGCTGTTGAATTTTAGCTTATGGCTGGAGAGTCTGGATATTGCCTGAAAGATGCATACTTGTGTCCCATCTTTGAGGGTAAAGTACCAGACCCCCTAGTTCAATCTACCATAGAGGCTGCTGCTTTGGCAATATCTTGTTTCTTACATCATTAATGGGATAGTAAGCATGAGATGGTGGATCCAAGTTATGTCAATTTCCAAAGCCCATGGTGAATCCCTTAAAAATGGTAGTTAGGTGAGAATACTTCTTCCACAAAGACATTTATCTCCTTCTGGCTGATGGCCGGTCCAAACTCCTTGAAGGCGGGAGTGAAGCAACTTACAAATGAACTATTTCTTTTTAAGGCCCTATTGTTACAAAGATCAGTTCATGGGTGAGAACGTTTTAGACTTAATCTTTGATAAGAGGTGGATAACTTTGAATTAGCTTGAAAAGACTGGTGTGGATGTTCCCTAATTTGTAGTCCTTCACAACATCTTGAAGGAACATGGAGAAAAAGATGATACCTTGCTTCACTCCAATGCTGACTGGGAATTTCTCTTAACTATTCTGAGATATGTATATCCTAGTGAAACAACCTGATGACAGCAGTGAAATCCCTTTTTTCCTATAAGGGTCATTACAAATCTGCTTCAGCTGATCCAGTAAATTGCCTTCTGAAGGTCTGTGAATACGAGGGGCTTCCTTTGTCCATATCACTCTTCCTTTGCATTGGTTTCAATTTTAAAATCTGGAGGATGCTAAGTCTAGGGTTCCCCCCATAAGAAAAAGGTTGACAATCCCTGGTTCAAAACAATAAACTGCCAGTGGATGTGTCCCGAGTAGAATTTCTATTTCAACATGCACTTTTATTTCTATATAGAGGAGATGTAATGTATTTAACTGCATCCACCAGTATTTCTATATTCAGACAATGTATTTACCTGTAAGTGTACACGAGTGAAGCTTTTTCTGTTTGAGAACTCAAAATTGCTTCTCATCAGCAGGTAAAGCAAGGCGCAGGCTTCTCGCCTGGTAGAGTTCAGCTTGGAGTTGCAGCACCTTAAAATCTGCACAGGAAATGAAAACAACCAATTGCAACAGGCACATTTATTTCCCTCTCGAGGTTTTTTTTTTTTAGTTCAGTGAACAGAGCTTTAAAATATAACATTGTTTCAGATAAATTCATCTCCATTATTCATCTTATTATTAAACATTGAAATTTTCTAATTGATATTTTTATTATAACATAGAACAGGTCAATTCAGATGGTTTTAAAGAGACTTTTTGTTATTCATGTTTCTATTCTGCCAGCACAGAAATAAACTTCAGTGACTAAATAACAAGAAAGCTGCCTATTTAAAATATACCAAGAAAGCAGGAATTTTTAAAAAAACATGCTCTAACTATCCTATAATTGAAAAATGATTATATTAAATGAAAAGACTTTATTTATGTTAACTAAATGTTGATGTGGGATCCAGAAAAAGAAAAGAAAATGTGCAGAGTGATCTATTAATAAATCCAAAGAGTTTAAAAAAAAAGCCCTTGTGCTCTCACTATGAATCAATGTGAATGGGACTAGATCAGACCTTACTAACCCAGTGAATGAATCTTGTTTGTCATCTTACCTCATAGCAGAGCTCCCCACACATGTCGGCGCTGCCTTTGAACAACACTTGCTGGAACTAATCAGGACATAATAATAGGTTTTTTAAACTTAGATCATTGTTACACATTTAATGGATTTGAATTGACTTTATATAATTTTCAACACATACAGAATCAACTTAAATAATGCACCATGCAGTGGGACCTGCATCAAGAAGACCAAAGATTTGACAGGCCCAAAAGATATTGAAATAAAATTTTGTACACATTTTGCATCAAAAATAAATTACAATAAATTTCTTTGGCTAATGACAAAAAGTAATGACGAAAAAAAAAAAAAAATCAAGTTCACTTGTTTTAGATTAATTAGACACCAACAAATCGTGTCAATGTAACAATATAAGGTAAGCTTTAATAATAATTTTACACAATACAAAAGTATACATTTCGGCACATGCCTTCATCACACATACAAGTGTACCTCACTTAGTTTAGAGACAGTCTTGATAAACCATTTTGTTTTCCCATCACCTTATTAAATACAAATACCTCTATTATAGTTTCCTATCACCTTATTATACATGTTAAGCTCAATTACATATTACAATTTAAATCCAGAGTGGCTCTCATTCATAGTTTGTGAATTAAACATGGTTAACCCATTCAATACTGGGCGTTCAGAAATTTTAGCATTTGGACCCCCCCCCCCCCGCCAAAATTTTTCATTTTGGCCCCCCCCCCCCCCAGCCAAAGGGGAACAACTCCACCCTTACTGTTGTATAATATGCAATAATTTGATTATCATTCATAAATGGTTGCTTTGTGTGTTGTGTAGCATTATTCCCTAATACTTTTCTTGTGTTAATTCCTAAAGTCAATTTTTTATGAAGTACTTGACTTTAAAAAAAATATTTTTAAGGACAGTAGTCTCCCTTGGTCTCATTTCTAGCAAGATTTTCATTTAAATGGGGGATTTCTACTTTCTGTTTAGCAGTGTGTAAACAAAAGTGTTGAGTGGCCGGAGTTGGCCGTAATGGGATTGAATCAGTGCTGGCCGGAGTTAGCAATTACAGCGTTCATTAGGGTAAGACGCTGGTTGAATCAGTGCTGGCCGGATTTAGCAGTTATAGCGTTCATTAGGTTAAGACACTGGTTGAATATGTAAAATCATAGAGCAGAAAAGAACAAATGACTGACCTTCTTTATGAATGCCCTCCACGCACCAAAAACATGTTTCTGCAACGTCTCTGACTGGCTGGACCTAAGGAAGCCTAGATACAGCTGAAAGACTGTACGCATCATGCTGTTATCTCCCCCTCTGGCCTCCAGATCTTTCTGTTGGCACAAACCAAGGGACACATCATTAATAGGGCAATATTGTCTTTTTCAACACACACACTGAGCTGTGACATTTAAAGAAACAACATTTATGGGGTTTCAACAATCTTTATTTGATGTAATTTGTCCCTTGTGTCACATCAATAGGGAAAATCAAATTCTTATATGATCATTTCATGACAAGTTAATATATTTCAGGAGAAAAATTCTTTACATCAAAGTTTCCCAATTATTTTTTGTGTGTGGCCCAGTTGTTTCTCTTTCAAGACCCACCAAAACTTGTACAGCTTTGTCTTGCCAACAGGTGACATAAAACAGATATGAACGTCCATACAGTTTTTATATCTTTTAATAAAGAAAAGCATTTAAACTTTAAAAAAAATTGCGTGGTACTTTGCTTTCACATTCTCATGCACGCCTCGATGGACATTCTACAGAATGAGACAAATCCTTATCCTTAACTAACCAAACAGCAAAACAAAAAAAAACAAGCACATAGCTAGGTTTTCAATACCCGCTACTTTTGCTTTCATGGCCTGGTACTGGGTCAGGACCCGGCATTTGGGAAACGCTGCATGCAAGACTTTATTTTCCAAAATGAAAGCCCCCAAGTTACAGATGACATGAACTTACTTTGAATGTTGTACAGAAAGGCTGAGAAGCTTACCTTGAATGTTGTACAGAAAAGGCTGAGAACGTCCAAGACTATGAGACCAACTTCTGTGGATATGTTTGCCTCCTGCAGGGCTCGGATCATGGCATCAGCATCCGAGTGTGTCGGTGCTTGGGATGGAACAAGGACAGTGGACAAGTGGAATTAAGTCAATGTTACAACAGTGTGCAGGGTATGATGTCATGGAGGGTTTGATGTCATGGAGGGTTTGATGTCATGGAGGGTATGATGTCATGGAGGGTATGATGTCATGGAGGGTATACTGTTGTGTAGGTTAGGATATAATGTTGTGCAGGGTATGATGTCATGGAGGGTATACTGTTGTGTAGGTTAGGATATAATGTTGTGCAGGGTATAATGTCATGGAGGGTATAATGTTATGTAGGTTAGGATATAATGTTGTGCAGGGTATGTGTGATCTCATGGAGGGTATAATGTTATGTAAGGGATATCATCATGCAGGGTATGTCATGAGTGTATAATGTCATGTAAGGTATGATGTCAAGTTAGTTTATTTGATGAATTTGTTAAGTGATGAGAACGTTGTGGCATAGGTGAAAATAATATTATATTTTGAGGATTACTAACATAGTCTAAAAAAATAAAAAACCAGTAATTTAAAAAATTATAAAGGACTAAAAAGTAACAAAATAACTACTAAGTAACCAAACGAGCAATTAGTGAAAAAAACGTTGCTAAACAGATACTTTGAAGGCACACACTTTGACAAAACACATGCTAAACAGATACTTTGAAGGCACATACTGTGACAAAACACATGCTAAACAGACACGTTGAAGGCACATACTGTGACAAAACACGTGCTAAACAGATTACATTGAAGGCACATACTGTGACAAAATACATGCTTAACAGATACTTTGAAGGCACATACTGTGAAAACTTTCAGGGATCATATCTCCATACTGGCTAGGAGTTCTCTGTGATGACAAACTGATGGGGCGTCCACGCTGATTCTGTAACGGTGTTGGCATCGTGGAGGACTTACTCTGTCCACCTATCATCTGACCTCCTATCATGCTGAGACATAAAAATGGCGTGATCATTAGCACACACAGGTCAATAAAATCTTAGCATGTCTGGCGAGAGCTTGTCAAGTTCTAATTTGATTTGACAACACTATTATTTCAACAAACACCATAGGGTTTTGCCTTCCTTCAAAAGAGAAGTAATATTTGGTATAACAAAGGATAATACAGTTTTATATTGAATTGTCTGAGAGTTTCATCAAATATATTAATTGGCATTGAAGCTTTCTTAATGTCTTCCCCCACCCAGTCAGTCACAGCACACTAAAAATATGACTTGAGAGGGTAACAAAATATATTAATTGGCATTGAAGCTTTCTTAATGTCTTCCCCCACCCAGTCAGTCACAGCACACTAAAAATATGACTTGAGAGGGTAACAAAATAAATTAATTTCCATTGACTGCCCCAACCAGTCAGCCACAGCACACCAGCGTGACTCTGTGACTTGAGAGGGCAACAACCGCCATTGGAATATGCAAATGGGGTCAGTTGTAGATAAACAATGCAAAATGAAAGCTATTTCCGCATACTGTACTAAAATGAAATCATTTGTCAACAAGCCAGGAGACTTCTTTAATAAGAATTCTTTAATAAGTAACACATAACTTAAATTGTTACGATTCCTTTATAGGACAGTCTGCCCAGAGGCAAGTTAGATGCCATCAGTTGAGCTCAAGAATGATTCATTATGAGAATGAACTGATTAATCATTATTTTATTTTGGTTGGTACAGTTCACAAATGTGGATAGCCATTTCGCAAGTCATTTGTAGTTTCAACGTTTTGATTTTGAATGTCATTTTGAAAGCATAAGTATTGAACACTTATAATCAGAGCTGCAAAAAGAGAAGTTCAAAACACAAATTGAGGAAAGCATTTACACACGGGGCACATTGACAGACATTGTGAGTGTTTACACATTGACATTTTGAGTGTTTACACATTGACATTTTGAGTGCTTACACATTGACATTTTGAGTGTTTACACATTGACATTTTGAGTGTTTACACATTGACATTTTGAGTGTTTACACATTGACATTTTGAGTGCTTACACATTGACATTTTGAGTGTTTACACATTGACATTTTGAGTGCTTACACATTGACATTTTGAGTGCTTACACATTGACATTTTGAGTGTTTACACATTGACATTTTTAGTGTTTACACATTGACATTTTGAGTGTTTACACATTGACATTTTGAGTGCTTACACATTGACATTTTGAGTGTTTACACATTGACATTTTGAGTGTTTACACATTGACATTTTGAGTGTTTACACATTGACATTTTGAGTGCTTACACATTGACATTTTGAGTGTTTACACATTGACATTTTGAGTGTTTACACATTGACATTTTGAGTGTTTACACATTGACATTTTGAGTGTTTACACATTGACATTTTGAGTGTTTACACATTGACATTTTGAGTGTTTACACATTGACATTTTGAGTGTTTACACATTGACATTTTGAGTGCTTACACATTGACATTTTGAGTGTTTACACATTGACATTTTGAGAGTTTACCTGAGAGTAACTATTTTCTTGCGGCCCTGGTACTGGAAGTGTTTGAGGCCTAGCCTGGAGCATAAAAATTCATATGGAACTTATTTGCAACTGCAGAATTGTTCAATGACATCAAGAAATACTAAATAAAGATTAATGAACTATCTTATTTGTTTTATGCCACAGCCTGGAAGTGACAAATGTATTTTATAGTTGCCAATGTGACATACAATAAAGTGAGGAAGAATTTCAGCATATTCTAAGTACAGTGGGAGCAGATAATAAAATATAATTTAGAAACAGTTTAAAAAAAAAATAAAACTTACTCCAGCAAAGAGAAGAAGTCAATAATATCAAGCTCTGAAGAGTTGTTGAACCAGCCTAAAAGGATATCTGTGAGAAGATAGGCAATAGGTGATTATAGGCAATATGTGAAGATAAGAAATATGTGAAGATAGGCAATATGTTATGATAGGCAATATGTGACAATAGGCTAAGCAAGCATTTTTACCATGTTACAATGGTTGAGAGCAATGCCAAGAGAGAAAACAGATCCAGCATTATGCAGATAATTTGAGGCTTTTCACACTTAAATTTCTAGCAAGACTTAGCAGAAATATGAACAATATCATCAAGTACATGAAGTAAGATACAATTCAATACAAGAAAGTATAGAAATAACATTTATCTGAAGCCATATAATGAGCAAGCAACAATGAGTAAAGTAAATTGTGTATGATGAATTTGATATGATGAATTGGTGACCGATAAGAAGCTTTCCCAGTGGATACTGAGATAGTTGGCTAACACCATTGTTTGTTATCATTCTTACCATCAATGTCTCGAATTAATTTAAATTAATGGGATGATATTCCATTTCTAAAATATTTATTTTCCTCTCTAAGAAAGTTACAGCTCATTTAAGACATTCATTTTTTTATCTTCTCCCAGCACCCATTATACAGCTTATCTCACTGGACTCCCAGCACCCATTATACAGCTTATCTCACTGGACCCCAGCACCCATTATACAGCTTATCTCACTGGACTCCCAGCACCCATTATACAGCTTATCTCACTGGACCCCAGCACCCATTATACAGCTTATCTCACTGGACCTCAGCACCCATTATACAGCTTATCTCACTGGACCCCAGCACCCATTATGCAGCTTATCTCACTAGATGCCCAGCACACATTATACAGCTTATCTCACTGGACTCCCAGCACCCATTATACAGCTTATCTCACTGGACCCCAGCACCCATTATTCAGCTTATTTCACTAGCCGCCCAGCACCCATTATACAGCTTATCTCACTGGACTCCCAGCACCCATTATACAGCTTATCTCACTGGACCCCAGCACCCATTATACAGCTTATCTCACTGGACCCCAGCACCCATTATGCAGCTTATCTCACTGGACCCCAGCACCAATTATTCATCTTATCTCCCCCCCCCCCCACCCCCCCGGTCATGAATAATTAATACTTTCAAGGAAACATGCCAAAATTAGCTCAGTGTCTCTTCAATCCCTTCAGATGATAGTTGGACTATATTTTCAGTATTCAAATAAACCCCCCCGGTCATGAATAATTAATACTTTCAAGGAAACATGCCAAAATTAGCTCAGTGTCTCTTCAATCCCTTCAGATGATAGTTGGACTATATTTTCAGTATTCAAATATTGAATAAATTATCCAAATACTCAGAGCCTCAAAAGTTGTGCTAGCATGCCACACCCTCACTTCACCCCAGGTCCTCGGTCAAGTCAACATCACAGTTACCTTCAGGTAGATGCTTTAGTATATGCAAGAAGCAGACCAAGAGGTCCCTGATCTCTGTGGTGTCCAGTTTATCATAGCGTCCAGGATAGGCTGCCGATGGTGCCTTTGATACATTAGAAGGCATTCTGAAACAAAGTACATTCGCCGACCATTCAGACACTTGTGTCAGGTTACAGAGTGGTCCATGTTAGTGGGAAATTATTCATCTTAAATTTTCTTTTTGGAGAAAATTTTTTTTTGAAGACAGAAAGTCATGCACACCTCCACAGGGTGTCTTGATTTAAAACACCACTGACCAGGATTTTAAAGTTCTTTGATTTATGTGGTAAAAACCTTATCACCATCTATCTATCCTTGATTTAAAACACAGATAACCAGGATTTTCTCATTCTTTGATTTATGTGGTAAAAACCTTGTCACAATTTATCCATCATTGATTTAACGCTTTACGGGGCAGAGTGGCCGAAAACGTCTTTACCACTTAAAGGGCAAAACGCCCAAAAAGCGTCCGTGACAACATAGTGTTGTTTTCTCGTGACCTCCGAGGATTTGCGAGACTTCCTATGTTTACATCCGGTTTTTCCCGATAGCTAAATAGAATAAGCGCCAGTTACAAGTATTTAATCTATTTTTTTTGTAGTTTTAGTGGTTTAAATTTTTTTTTTTTCAAAATGCATTTTGATGATTATTTGCCTAATATTCAAGTGATAGCGGAGATTTCGCTGGATTGACAAATTGACTGTAATTCGGAAGTAGATATTAATATTATTAGTAATATTAGTGAAATCAGCGTAGTAAGCAGTGTTGAATTTTACAAACTTTGATTTTGTGGCAGTGTTTGTCAATAGTGAATAGATGACTCACAATCACAAACAATATGTTGTTTTTTGCAAATATTTGTGTTCATATGAGAATTAATGGCAACATGTGAGTACAATAATAAATCTGCATTCATTTTCCTTTATTTTGCTTTTTATTTCACACTAATTTGTTGACCTTAGATTTGGTTTTTTTTGTAACATAACCCTAAATTTTACTAAAAAATAGAAAAAGTTGTGCCCTTTCAGGACATGCAAGATGAAGTACCTCTGCCCCGTAAAGGGTTAAAACAAATAACCAGGATTCTCTCATTCTTTGATTTATGTGGTACAAACCTAGTCACAATCTTTCCATCCTTCTTGCTTCCCACATCCTTCTCCCCAGAAGAGTCGCTGGCTAGAGATGTGTTGCTACCATTGTGTCCAGTAGCTGCAGCAACAGTAAGCTCATTAGGGTTGTGAGGCATGGCAACTGCAGAGACAACAATACACAGGTGTCAGAACCTAGTGGTGGCTAGACATTGCTCCCACAGTTATGACTCTATAAACTTTTAAATATTTTATTTTGTTTGCATAAAAATAAATCCTAATGTGAAACAGTAAACATGCTTGAACTTTTAACATTTAAATTTTCAATAAGTTAAAGTACTTAGATCAAAATTCTAAAACTTTACAAGTGTTTTTGACATTCTAACCGTATTTAGAACCTAACTATAAATTACACATTTATTTCTGGACAATCTAATGGCTTTAAAAATATAAAAGCAAAATCCAGTTGGGGGGGGGGGGGGGGNGGGGGGGGGGGGGAATTGGGTTGGTGTGTGTGTGAGGATTTGGGGCAGGGGGGGGGGAATCTCAATTCTTCCAAACAAAATGTAAAAAAATTATTCAATGGCAGCACCTTATAAAATAAATACTATTGCTAATTCATCCTAGCCAACTCAACCTTTACAAATACTCCTAGGACTGATATTTGTAAATAATAATTTATATATTTTTATACATTTTAAATACATGCATTAAACAGCATCAAAGTATATCCAAACAACTTAGTAATGTTTCATGTTTAAAATTTTTTTTTTACATTAAGCAAGAGAAAAATATGAAAGTTTATCATATTAAGATAGTGATCTTCTTGTTCACCCTCTTGTGACATTTGGCCAGGAAAATTGCAGTTGTTCTCTTCGTAACCAGATATTCAATAGCTCACAAAATAAAATTACTGATAACTGTTTTAAATGAGATTCTTTAAAATACTCCAGTGCATTTAGTGCATAATATTTTATTTCGAGTTGCGAAAACAGTTGAATAAATCTGCGGTGTAAAAGGGGGCGGGGCATTAGAATATTAATATATATCAGGAGTGTGGTTGGGGGGGAGGATAGAGCTAAGTGGGAATCTTATAAAGAGCCATTGTCTGGCAGGCTATAGCTAGTTGTTAATATTGCTAGAACTGTGTCTTTGAGACACATCAATAGGTATGGAAGCAGTGAGAAAGACCAGGCCACCCGACCCATGCACTCATAGCAAAGGTATACATGCAGTTTAGAACAGCACTAATGTGTACAGGGCACACCAAGCAAATACATCAACCAGTTGACAGGATGAATATATCCCAAAGCCAAACCATGCACCAGCCCCCACATCACACATGAGAACTGCAGCTTTTTTTAAGCTGCCATGTCCGGCATCTGTGTTATATAAGGTCATGCTTAAATCTCATTAATGGCATGCACAATCATTATCAACCACATGGATCCTGAATGTCCAGTCCTCAACACTTTCAATCAACGACCAGATCTGCCAACTCTGTGGCTAATTGTTGTTTGAAAAATATTTAACACCTCTCAAACTCATATCTTAAGTAAAAAAAAAACACACATTTTTTTTTAGTTTGGACAATTCCTTTAAAGTAACTGTAAGACAAGGCAACTAAATGTTTACCTTTGAGTGAGAAAAATTATTATATTAAATAAGACAGCAGCAGTTTCCCCCCATCAAATTAAGAAAATGTGAATGTGAATTGTCTCTTGATATCCCAACACAGTGGTGGTGTGTACATGTGTGGAGTCCCTTATAAAGATGGTATATCACTATCGGGTCCCCAATAAAGATGGAACATCAGTATGGGGTCCCCCAATTAAGATGGTATATCAGTATCGGGTCCTCAATAAGGATGGTATTTCACTATTGGGTCCCCAATAAAGATGGTATGTCACTATCAACTATATTTTCATTCGATTCTGCATTTATCGGATAGATCGTTTCTAATCTTGCTTTTCATGTAATATATTTGATTTCTTTAAAACAAAGATTAAAAAGACTTGTACATTTCCAATGCAGATTGCACCATTTGTAAGTTACATATTGTTGGATGATTTACAGTGGTTCTTTGTGAATCGCAGAGGTTAGGTTCACTACTTTCCCTGCATGCAAGCCTCTGTCTATCCCTCTGATGTACACTACTTTCCTGGCATGCAAGCCTCTGTCTATCCCTCTGATTAACATTACTTTCCTGGCATGCAAGCCTCTGTCTACCCCTCTGATGTACACCAAGTAGTTTATTTTAACATTCTTTTCATATGTTTTAATTAATATTTTTTTTTATTTTCAATTTTTTAATGTTATAAAACGCTTATTTTACAGGAAAAAATAACAATAATATGAATATACAAAGATACCAATATACAGCAAAATCCCACCATACGGCAAATAATCTGTGATACAAAATTATATATATACAAGTAAAAAATCCACTATATACAGTGAGACCACAAAAAGTGAACTGCGAATAGGCGAGAGACCGCTGTACCTCTAACCATACATTTATTTATTTATTTATTTAGGCATTTTTATATAGCGCTTATCATAAAGCTCTAAGCGCTTTACAGTTATTAAAACATGTAAACTAAGTAAATACAAATGAGACACTAGGATAGTAACTACTATTCTACAGAAACAATGAAAATGGCTATAAATGAGAGTACATCCTGTACTCTCAATTAAAACAATCCCTGGATGATGTACATCTCTACATGCTGTTCATCCTGTACTCTATCTAAACATCCCGGGATGATGTCAACCTCGGCATGCTGTACACCATTACTTCCCATCATCTAACTTAAGTACATGCTGAGCACCATGCACTTCTAAAACTCTCCAAGCTGTACACCAGTACGTCCCTTCATCTAACTTAAGTACATGCTGAGCACCATGCACTTCTAAAACTCTCTAACTAAACATCTCACCAGTGCACTCACCAGTCCCAGAAATCATGGCAAACACTGCAGAATCTTTCTTCTTGATTTCTGGGGTGCCTGGCAAAGCTGGTGAACTCTGACCTTTGACCAGGCTCATCTGGGACTTGCTGACATCAGACCTGTGTTCAAAGACAGAGTGATAGAGAATTTGTGAAACACTCCTAAGTGCCACATTCTGTGTGAAACACTCCTCAGTGTCATATTCAGTGTGAAACACTCCTTAACTCTTTCGCTGCGGAATTTTTTCATCTTACATTTTTTTCGAAGAGCGGAAAAAGAGTGAGATGTTGGGTTTATTAAAAAATATTTAAAATATTATTCTTTGGTTTATAAGACTAAACGTAGTATCAAATGTAAGGTAATTGAAAGGACTATATATTTGTACACTAGTTTCTACAGTTTAAAAAAAATTAGTTACATGAAAGAGCCATAAAATGTGGAAACATTTAATGAATTTAATGCTATACCATTTTTCCCCAAACCCAATGATGTACGCATACCTCATCTTCAATTCTATAACTAAATTCCTCTAAAACTACTACCATCGGAATCATCTTCGCTGTCAAAAGAAATATTATAAAACAATTTCAAAGCGTTTTTAACTGTTTAACGTCTAGGAAATGTACATACTAGAGCCTAGAGTAGCCATAGCAACAGTAAAAAAAAAAAAAATGCGAAGAAAATCGTCAAAATAATGCTTCAATTGACAATAAATAAGCCTTGGTTTCGAATGTAAACAATGAAGTACCACTCTTCTATGTAAAAGTCTTATTTAAAAATAGCTCTTAAAAAGTTTAACCGAGAAATAGCAAAGAAAGAAACATGATATTGAAACAACGCACAGCGCATTGGTCCGTGCTTTTGAGAACGGCGGAAGAACGCAGTGTGCGTTGTTCCGCATCGAAAGAGTTAATGTCACATTCAGTGTGAAACACTCCTAAGTGTAAAATTCAGTGTGAAACACTCCTAAGTGCCACATTCTGTGTGAAACACTCCTAAGTGTCATATTCAGTGTGAACACTACTCAGTGCGGCATTCAGTGTGAAACACTCCTCTGTGCCACATTCTGTGTGAACCACTCCTTAGTGTCACATTCTGTGTGAAACACTACTAAGTGCCCCATTCAGTGTGAAACACTCCTCTGTGCCACATTCAGTGTGAACACTCCTCAGTGCCACGTTCAGTGTGAAACACTACTAAGTGTCACATTCAGTGTGAGACACTCCTCAGTGTCACATTCGGTGTGAAACACCTCTAAGTGCCCCATTCCGTGTGAAACACTCCTCAGTGTCACATTCAGTGTGAAACACTCCTTAGTGTCACATTCTGTGTGAAACACTACTAAGTGTCACATTCAGTGTGAAACACTCCTCTGTGCCACATTCCATGTGAACCACTCTTTAGTGCCACATTCAGTGTGAACCACTCCTTAGTGTCACATTCAGTGTGAAACACTCTTAAGTGCAGCATTCAGCGTGAAACACTCCTCTGTGCCACATTCAATGTGAACACTCCTCAGTGTCACATTCAGTGTGAAACACTCCTCAGTGTCACATTCGGTGTGAGACACCACTAAGTGTCACATTCAGTGTGAAAAACTCCTCTGTGCCACATTCCGTGTGAACCACTCCTTAGTGTCACATTCACAGACCTGTTTACTCTTACGATTTTGGCGTACAATGTACGATTTTGAGGTGTATACATTATATATGCAGCACGTCTTTGCTCTATAAAGAAAATGTATTGAACGATTATATGATGATATTGTACGATTTTAAGGGTTTGAGGGTAAACAGGTCTGCATTCATTGTGAAACACTCCCAAGTGCAGCATTCAGTGTTATTGTGGATATAAATGTTTAAATAAATAACTCCATTAGTTGCATAAAGGAGGACAGTTTTCATGAAGTACCTTGAACTGACATCCCCGTTCTGGGTGGGGGTGGGTGCAGGTGCAGACTTAGCATTGGGGGTTATCTGCAGTAACAAGTTCTTGCTGTCAAGTAGAACTCCAATCAGAGGCAGATACAAGGCGGCTATTCGGCCCTGTTGGGACTGGGAGACCAAATAAATACAGTGTCAATGGATTGGCTCTTAAAAAAAGGGAAAACTCATAATGTTTTGAAACGAAACACATGAATAATTATTTAATTGGGGAAATAGACCAAAAATTATAATATACAGATCAGTGTCAGTGGATTGAGTTAAAAAAAGATAATTTCATTTTTCAAAACAAATCAATAATTCAGTATTTTATTGGGGAAATAGACCAAAAATACATACACATGTTACCATTCATTCTGTATTAGCAGAACTTGAAAAGATTTATTAACTATATGAGAAACAAAACTGCATTCACTCAAATTCTACTTTAAAGAATCTCAAACAACAAAGAAAATACAGTATTTGTATGAAGTGACCAACCCCTGAAGCATATCTATCATCAAACGAATGCTTTGCCAGCTGGTTCCTCAATACAGTGATGGCAGAGCGCCTGATTGTCCTCTGCTCCGTCATGGCCAGGCGGAGCTCAAAGAGCAGAAGCCCGACAAGGTAGTGGTGCTGTCTGAACTCATCTGACAGGCAGTAGTCATGTTTCAGATCTATCAAAGACAAGGTTAGAAATGTACAACACAGGTATGATTGGAGACATGATAAGTTTATTCTAATGGAGGCAAAATTATCTGTGGATATTGTAGAGGATAAAAAAAAAAGAGTTGACTTAAAAATAGTGCTTCAGTTGATTAGGGCAGGGTTCAGAAATGTTTTATTTCTTTTTTAACATCATTTGTTAAATAGATGGAAACAATATTTAATATGAGTAATTTTCCCTGTCATTAATTATCAATGGAATGACTGGAGCACAATACCAAGAAATTAAGAAGTAGAATGCAACATTAAGAAAATAAAGTATTCCAAACCACTGCTGGTAATTTTTCTATTATTCATTAAAGAAATTTTCAAAACTGATTTAATAGTCATCAGAATTTAATTAGGTCTATGGCTTTTATTTATATATTTTTTTAGCACTTAATACATGCATAGAACTTAAATTGCCCATAAAAATGATTTGGTAATTGAACATTTTGAAAACAGCAATGCCTTATCAAACTAGTTCTGTCCAGATTAAATCCCATTTACATCATTTGAGCCTTTGTAAGACTCTTCCTCAATAATTACTAAATGTACCATGATAACTTCCCGAGGACATGCTCCACATTGATTATCTTCTCTTAACTTCAATTTGAACTATAAATAATGACAGAATAAATAAAACCCATGGCAGTAACCACACCCCTCAAAATCATCCAAGTAGGCAAGGAAGTAAATCATTGAAGCCATAGACATAATTTGTTACACAGAAGACTTTCATTACAACATTTTTGTTGTTAAAAAATTAAAAATTAAATGAAATATAAAAAGTGTATAACTTAAGTCCTTGCTTCCTTGTCTATATTTAACTTGTTCTAAATTCAGCTCTACAATATTTTTTTTAAAATGAACTATTTGAGCCTAATTGAAACATCCTTTTAAACGCTTTTGAAAACAATATTTTATTTTATCAAATAGGGTCAGTTGGCATAGGATTTATGAATAGAAATATCTATTTATTTTAAAGTACACAAGTTATGTCTGCATTCCTGACAACCAGCATGCATGGGAATAATAGATTTCTTGATTATATCCAACACATGGTCCACAAAGAATGATGCCATACAACAACAAAATCACTTGACCATAGATCCCCCAACAAAATAAAATAGTTAAGAAAAGTGCTCTTGAAAAGTGTAGGAGGAGCCAATATGTCTTCCTATGAGATAAAGTCCTGACATACAAGTGAAGGTCTAGTGAATTTAAATTTGTTAAGGTTCATCAAGATTTTAATTCATGTAACATTTTATTTCTGGCAGATTAAAAGGTCTTTTTAAAGAAAACATTTTTTATAAGGTCTTATTAAAGAGAACAATTTTTAAAAATACATTCTGAATAATTAATGGTCGGCAGTTTTATTATTTAAAAAAAAGAGAGTTTTAAAAGCAACTATATAGCAAATCTAGCACAAAATGTTACATAGTAAGTAAAAATTATGTTAGATTGAATCTGCAAATTGAATCCACTAAAAACTATTGCATGAGTGGGTGAAAAAAGTTTAAGTTACTTTAAAACAATGCAAGATAACTCTCACAAAGAAAGATTTTATAAGTTTAGTCCCCTTTTCTTGTATTTAAATGATTCCATATTATTTACAGCAAAACAAGATGCTTGGTTAATGTATGGATTTGTTCATTAGAAATAAACCCTCTCTTGAAAATAGAGAACAATACATTTCACACATGCGAAGAAGTTGCCATACTTTTTGAATGGGAATTTATTTGATTTCTTTGGTGAGCACATAATGAGGTTTATCAATTATATAGTGAGTGTATTTTTTAAATTTAATAAAATAACAGGGAAGTGAAAATCCCACAATTAATGATTGCAGTTTTGAATGTTAATAATTAGAGCTAAATGAATCTGTTTTTTTCAAACATCCTTGCAATGACATTTAAAGCAAAACCATTGTGCCATTAAAACAATATTATTACATACTTGAACAATCTTGGTAGTGCTGAGAAATAAAAAAATACCAAGAGACTAATAGCCAACTACTTAATACCTTCAGACACAGAGACACTACTACCAGGCTAAACACCATAAAAAGAAGGCACACACATTTAAAAATACACGATGATGATCCAGAGCAAAGAGGGCCATGTGTGCACGTGCCAGTGTCAACTAAAAAAACTAATAGCTGTGCTTCAAATATTTTTGTGTATACAATTACCTTCCAATTTGATTTCTGAAAACAAAAGTTTAAGGGCTGATGATTACAAGCTGAAACAAGATGCTGGATAAAATCAAACATGGTACATGTTGGTGCCGACAAGATAATCATACCAGGCGAAACTTTGCTACAACTTGCTTTGTGTAAATATAATGGCCATCAGTTTGTTAATATTTTATTCATTCATGTTTCAGAGTGGTCAAACAAAATACAATGGTTATGGATTTGGTTTAAGTATAGTTTTGTGGGAAATGAACATTTCTAGATAACTACTTCTATAACTTACAGAATGTTTCAGAAAAAAAATGGAAATAGATGAAAGAAAGGGGACAAAAAGAAAGGGGACAAAGTGGTTAAAAGACAACTAAAATGTAGGACATCAGAGTAATATGTCCTAACATCTGAATAAGTTGATGCTGCTGTGCTGGCAGTGTTTCATAGGGAATAGATGTGGGCATGACAAGTGAACAAATCCAAATACAAATATATTTAAACAAATATTACACTGCCAGAATTTTAAGTCATCATGCTGTAATCGATAAGTTTTTCAATAATTCCTATATAACATGGATATTGTTATTATTGTAGTGTTGATTACTGGAAACACTCCTTTGGAGACGGATTTTATGAAGTGACTCCAGCTCCAGATATAATAGCTCTTTTGTTGTCCTATAGAAATTTTGAGTAGCCACTGAAGCCAAGTTTAGTAAAAATAAATGAATGTCCCAAACTGCAGACTCCAACCCTACACAGACAGAGCTCCTAGAATTTCAGCCATAGTTTTAAATACAGATCTGGAGCTGAAGTTATCAAACATTCAATTGAACAGCCCAGCTTGTACATAAACAAGTTTCAATTTAAATTACAATCTACATTAGTCAGTCCACCTTCCCATTCAAAGCAACCATTTTCCCATGATGAATTATATATGTTATGATGGCGTTTGAATTTATAACCCAAGGGTTGTAGGACGGGATGTTGTTAGAGTAAAAAAAAACAAGGTATAGTCATATTTGCATATGTCCATTTCAAAATCTTGGATACATTGGGATCATCTTATTGGAGGATTAAGAGATTATAACTTACACTCATGGGTTTTAAAAATCTCTTGATAAAATGACAAAGAAAAGCAGATCAGTTAGTGGTTTTTTTCATTCTAGGTGATGAAAAAGAAATGCATTGCTTTTTTTTTTTTTTTTTTTTCAGTAACCATTTTAACTTTTTTAATAAAAAAAAAACTTGATAAAATGACAAAGAAAAGCAGATCAGTTAGTGGTTTTTTTCATTCTAGGTGATGAAAAAGAAATGCATTGCTTTTTTTTTTTTTTTTTTTGCAGGAACCATTTTAACTATTTCAATAAAACAAAAATGTTGAGTAATTTTTACATTAAATTGTTCCACAGAGCCCTAAGCCCTAATGCTCTGGATTTATACCAGGTCTAATCAGAAATATAATTGTGTTTTTTTTTAAAAATCTAACACTGTGGGATCAAGAACAAAAAAGTAATAGCCACGAGCACGTATCGTTTAATTTATGCTTTCATAAAAAGCTATTTAATTTTAATAATAATAAAAAAAAATAGAAACCAACTTTATTAAACATTTATTTTTAAACACATGTATAGCGACAATTAGAAAAAAGCTATTATGTAAAACATAATCAAAGGGTAGACAGGGATTCTGAAGGCAGCAATGAAATAGAAATGTCAGAATTAGAGTTTTGATAGCATTTAAGATGCAATGCTAAAGTCTTAAAGCAACAATCAAAACTAATCGGAAGAACAGCATGTCTGATGTTTAAAAATAAATAAATACCCTGATTGTTAATGATATCAAAGATTTACCTTTGAAGTTTTTAACCATGCCACGTCTCATCAGTGGAAGAGATAAGGGAATGAAGTGCTCATGGCTGCACACGATACGCAGGAACTCAAACTTTATTTCATGAAGAGTCTGGGGACACGGGGACAGAAAGCTCATGATTTAATATGTATATCATGTTGAGTCTGAGGACATGGGGGGAGATAACTCATGATCAACAATGTCTGTCATGGAGGGTCTGGTGACATGGGGACAGATAACTCATAATGAACTATGTGTGTCATGGAGAAAACAATAACAGTTAGCTCAAGATATTTTTCATGGAGAGAATGATGATACAAGGCCACTTGATTGAGCTTGAATGATTTCTTACAGTTAAAGAGATGCGCAGTGATTCACCTAAGAAAGATCCCATTTACCTGATAGGCAAAATAATTACCAACCTACCTTGCTGTCACCTGGATTGAAATTCTCAATGTACTTGGAGATTGTTTTGAACACATAGCCTCTGTCCATCAGAGTGAAACAGTTCTGAAATGTAGTGAGTTTGTATCTAACACCACAGTGATTGAAGATGTAAAACATTTTGACAATTTCTTTTATGACAGCAACTAATTTTGAAATAATGTTGATTGCTGGATACAGTAGCAAGTGGTATAGACAGTTTTGCAAAGATTTTACAGAGGAGGAAGCAGGTGAAGTTTACAAATAATGGGCAGACTTTTAATGAATGGTATTAAAAAATAATTCAGATGGATGAAAGTCAGAAGAAGTTGAGAGAGGAGGATAGAGTAAGACTAAAAGGTAAAAAGTATGGTACGGTAGTGTTCAGAATGTGGGTCTCTCTTGATCACAGGCCACACCCTGAAAGTTTGGGGTTACGTAAAAAATACATTTATCATTTTATTTAGCCCCATCCCTATTGTTGGCCCCACCTCTAGTTTGTAGACACATGGGGGGGACGGGGACGGGACTGTGTCCCATACTTACAACCATATGGCAGGTATTCCCAAAGTCCCACAATCCTAGGACAGCATGCTTACCTCCCATGTAAGTTCATTAATGTTCTACCAAAAGTTTGACTACATCCCCCAAATGAAAATGTTGAACAGAAGTGCATGAGACGAAAGAAAAAAAAAAAGTGACCAAACTGACCTTAACAAAGCTGGCCAGGCTGTGGTTGGCATTTTTGGTTTCTTCCTTGTGATCACGACACTTCTGTATGATGTGAAGTGTGACCACATGAAGCAAGGTCTGGATTCTAAACTGACACTCGGCTGCAAACCTTTCGTTGCGAGGCATCTGTGATGGAGGTAATCTTCCTTTTAAAATATTACGCCTTACAAATGGAGTCACGCATAATCTTATAACATTTAGAATCTGAGGCAGTTTTCACTTAGTACCTAACAGCGGGGTTATTAGTTATCAATAATAAAATTGAAATGAACTATAATATATTTGATTCTGCAAGCACTCTGACGTCTATAGTCATGTCATGATTACTTGCTGCTAAGAAAAAAAACAAAACAGAACAGATATTGTCATCCCTTATTTCAAGATAAAGATACTATTGTAGTTCATGAGTGCCAGTCATGTAAAGAAAATATTTAGATCGAGATATGTTGCAGTGTGAGCATTGAAAGTACTTACTTTGATCCTATCAGTATCCAGCAAATATAAGGTCATACTTTTCAGAAGTACTTCAAAGAAGAACCAAGCATGCTTCAGGAATCGGATCACAACCAAAGGGTCAGTGTTGGCTGGACGCAGGATGGATGTCAGGTGCCTGGACAGCTCCTCGTGAACCGTCCTCGGGCTTTTGTTGGATTTAGATACCGGGTCCGGCCTGAACATGTACTGGAAGAAGCATTGATGTTGTTGGTTTGTGAAATTAGAGAGAAAGTTGGTTGTAATAGGAAAGAACAAAATTTATTGCAATTCTTTCATTTTTAAAAACTCTCAATTATAAACTGCCTGTTGATTTCAAAAATCTCTTTTAGAGCAGCTGCAATCTAACTTTAAATTCCCCAATATGTTTCTATGCTGTTTTTATTCTTTTGGCACAGCAAAAACAGGTTGACATTATTAATGTTGTTAAAAGTTTCATATGATGTTCCCTTGGGTTTTCCAGCGGCCTCCAGAGAGGTGATCTGCTGTGCAGGGAACCAGCTTATAATCCTAAAAAGAATAATCCCAGGCCTTGTAGACTTTGTGTACACCATCGTCACATTGAGACGGATGGAAGCCAGCAAAAAAACCAGAAAAAAAACAGTAAAGTGTCTGGTAGTTACTTCAGATCTTTCATCTGGTCAAGTTGACCCCCAGTACAGCGTCTGGCAGTTACTTAACGACCAAAAATCTCATGCTGAAGAACCAATATTTATAACGAGTGACCAGACTGCAATAATGTGATTAGCCATTTGGCATGGTCAGACACAGCAAGCCAGTACTTATGTCATAAACCTACATGCCAGCTGATTACTAACACTGGGGTTATCTTTTTCACGAGTTTCCATTTGAGATCTGGAAGGTGAATGTGGGTTAGAATTATAATGTAGCTTTCTAAAAATACTTATTAAGCCTACCTTGACGTATTTCTCCAAGGACTCTTGCTTTTGAGCATCGTGAATCTCTGATACTATATGGATCAGAACTCTAAAAAATATTTGGAAAGTCATTTTGATTATGTCAACACAGGACAATGTTTTAATTGGGCTAGGGCTGTGTCATAGCGTCACTGTCATAGCTTGAAGCCAGATGACCAGCAATAAAATCTGTTGTGTTTAAGTTAAATACATCTCACTCAGCAGTGCCCGGTTCGAAAAAAAAAAATTATACAATTTTTCTTTAAACACTGTAACATTGGCTGATAAAATTTAAAAGTCTCTTAAATAAGGTTGTTTTTTTTACATGGAGTTGAATGGGCTTTCGATTTACCTGCAAAAAAAAAACGTAACATTGGCTGATAAAATTTAAAAGTCTCTTAAGGTTGGTTTTTTTACATGGAGTTGAATGGGCTTTCGATTTACCTGACTGAGTTGACAGCTATGTCCTCACTGACTGTTTTTGAAAGCAGCTGGAAAAGTTGGTTGAGCAAGGTGGGTAGAAACTTGACATAGGTAGACACTTCAACAGCAAGCAGGGACTAGAAGCAAATAAAAATAGCTATACGTGACACTGCTTTATATTAAAATGGTCTCATTCTGTATTCTAAAATAGTCTTATAAGATTCAAATCTATGCTTACACTTTATTTTAATTTTTAAAAATATTATGCTAATTTGTCTTAACAACTTGGGCTGCACATATTGTATTAATATTTTATTACAGGTTGTAATTTATAAATAGAATTTAATGTTAGTATTGCAATATCTACTTCTTACTGAGCACACTAAAATGGTTTGTTAAGGTGCAACAGCATGCTCTAATGTAGTGGTACCCAGACTGTTTGTCATGCATACAATATCAAATATGGCTCGATTTAAATCAATTTCTATTTTTAAAAAAAATGCTTTTTATCTTAAGGAAACCAATGGTTTGGTATTACAATAACAGTAGATGTGTTATAGGAAACCAATGGTTTGGTATTACAATAAAAGTAAATGTGTCATAGGAAACCAATGGTTTGTTATGACAATAACAGTAGATGTGTCATCAGTAGTCAGGATTGTTCTGTGTGTTTCACTGAATGCAGCAAACTCTTATTTCCATGGGGCAGCCATTTGATTCTGGCAATGACCTGTTCATCACTGTCATAAGTCCAGTTAACAGGAGACGGCGGGTGCCATTACCCCATGCTAGTGAAATCTGTTCCATTAGATTGAGAGTCCCCGTTCTATGGCATGCTGTCACTTGGTGTGTTTTACTGATACAAGTGTCACAAAGTGTTGTTAAAAGTAATACTAGTGTGAAACAGAAACATGTTATTGTTTAGAAGCTTGTCAGATGGCACGTTTGTATGTTAGGCACATTTGACTTTTATGGAACAGAAAAAAAAAACAACAACACAATAATATTTATCTAAACATTACACACCCACAGTTGTTAATCCACTGCATCCATTTAAGTGTACAATACTTTTATATGATGTTGGGTATAATTTTTTTTTTTAAAGTTGTCTAGTGTCAGAATGAAGATCATCTCATTCATACTACTGATATACATGTCTAGAATTATGATGCAGCAATATTTTATAACTATTAAAAAAATGTAAATTATCTACTATAAAATTAATTATAATTGTAATTTCCCATGGGGAAGAGTGAAAATTCCCCTGCCTAAAGTCTATCCAAAGAAGACAGGCAACAACTTTTTTAATGCTAAAATAAATCCAGATCATTAATGTTAAAAAATGTACTCCCAGGACCATCCCAACAACATCCTTTACACAGACATACACAAATTAAGTGAAAGAAATAAAAAAAGGAGAAACTTTAAACATAAGGAAACAATATAAGTTTGCAAATAAATAAATTTTTGAAAAAATGCTTTGACACAGATAAAACTGCAAATCAAAATACATGCAAATGAATCAATGCAGAAAAGAAGAAAAAAGGAACCAATAAAACTTGAACAGCAAGGCGGTGTGTGTATACCTTAACCCCATTTAGCAAGGCCTGTAACTCTGAAGGTGCTATATAAATTGCATCCCCTTGGGCCCCACAATCACCATTTTCCAGCTACAAGCAAATCAAAAATAGAGGCAGGAATACAAAAGGAAATAATTATTTCATTATCTTTTTTTTTCTTCTTACTTTTAAATTATTTTTAGAAAAATTAATAGAACATTAACTTTGTGCATGAGATTGCCTTAACACATTAACTAATGTTTCTTGTCATCTTTATTTGTTATAATATTAATGTGATCCGAGATTACCCTAATACTGAACAGATGTTTCTTGTCATCTTTATTTGTTACAATATTAATGTGATCCGAGATTACCCTAATACTGAACAGACATTTCTTGTCATCTTTATTTGTTACAATATTTATGTGATCAGAGATTACCATAATAATATGTTTCTTGTCTTCTTCATTTGTTACAATATTTATGTGATCACAGATTACCCTAATAATGAACAGATTTTTATGGTTTTCTTTAATTTGCCTATATTTTAAGCAAAAATCATGACAATGAATTCAATGAATTTAAACAAATAAGATATCAGTTATACAATAATTCAGATCAATTCAAATTTCTTATGCAAACCATAATTGCTTATGCAAACCATGTTTGCTGAATAAACTGTCGAGCTACTGGTTTCCATTGGAAATTTTCCCACATTATTTAACTTTTTAAAAATGATAAAAAATTACATGAAAATGTGGAATAAAGCAGAATAACATAAGTGTAGTCAGAAAAAATAAGTTAGACCAACTTAACATGACTTATTCTTGCAACAGCACCTATTTAACACAACCACTCAGAATTTCATATCATCTTTAAAGAAAAAGCTGATGACTTATTTTTAGTGAAATATATTTGATGAAAAAAAATTACTATTGCATACACATTAATCAAATGGAAATGCAAGAAATTGAAATCATTTGAGAGGATTCTTAAAAGAAACAAGGAATAGATAAGAACAATAAAATTGTAAAGGGATTATGTAATAAATTTTCTTGTTAATGAAAACCAAAATTTGATTGGTGACACCCTCACATGCATTATACGACATGTATTATTTCATGTATTAGTATGTGATTGGGTGGTTTTAAACTGAACATGGATGTTAGCTTTGGAGAATCTCCTTACCTTGACTTTGTTGACATTATTTTCTATAGCTGGTACTCCCCCTTGTTCAGCCCTCTGACAGTGAAGGAAGAAATTGTTGAGATGCTGGTCCTGAAGGAAATAAGTCACATCACGAATTCAACAAGTTTCTTATTTCTGGGCTGTGTTCTTGGGTCAAACAGGGGACTTAATCAAATATTTTACAGGTTATTTATTTCTGGGCTGTGTACTTGGATCAAACAGGGAACTTAATCAAATATTTTACAAGTTACTTATTTCTGGGCTGCGTGCTCTTGGGTCAAACAGAAGTCATGAGAGTTCATAAATGAATAAAAAATTTATAATTACAAAGATAACCTTATTTTGACATGTAAATGGGGCCTTTCCTTACCTGTGTATACACTGTGGACACCAAATGGATCTTGAGCTTAAACAGGGGCTTGCCTCCATCTACCCACTTGACATCAGAGCTTCCAGACTGTCAATAGAACCAAATGGAATTAATACATGTAAACCACTGGTCATGAAGATGTTGACAGTGTCATGTGGAATGAAAACATGTATGGTTAAGGTCATGAAGGTTTTAAATACATAAAATGGTCTCATAGAAACCAACAAATACACAAGGGAAAACTATGTAATGAAACATGAGAAAAACATCTGTCACAAATTTGTTGGCAATCAAGCACTGGTTACCTTGCCAAGAGAAAGAGTATCATGACTAAGGTAGAAAGATGGTGTGTGAATGGCCACAGGAATCACTTTCTCCCCTGTGACAACTCTGTGAACAAAAACAAAAAGCTTATGTTTGGTTTTCTTACTTGCAAAAACTTTGTCAATTTATCTAGAAGACATTTGTTTAATTTTCTTTTCTGACAAAAGTCCTGTCCCTTTATTTATCAAATCTTTATTTGATTTCTGTAATTACAAATGTCCCTTTATTATAAAGTATACTGTAAATTTGTCACAAATTTTATGAAGAAAAAACAGTGAGCAATAAGGAATAAATAAAAAACCTTTGAACTTTATGTAAGGAACAAAACAAGTTTCTTAAAATTACTTAAAAAATTGGTCAAGATGAAGGAATAAAATAAATTAATTTCGGAGGCAATGCAACTATTGGCACCAGCTACAACTATTAAACTTGTTGCCACAGAATCTCATCTGTAGTAGACCGAGTGAAAAAAAAAGGCTGCCCACCTGCCCTCTTGAAGTAAAGGCATCCAGGCACATCCTACAGGCATTTCTATACTATCCTTCTTTTTCCCTGAGCTAGATTTGGCTCCCGCCTTTGAGCCCTCACAACTGACGTGATAGAATCGGAAGAATAGATGATGCTTTTCTTTCAGCTGGACGGGTAGGCACATTTTTACCTTATTTGAAGGAAAATAGTTTATCAGTATTACATATCAAAATTCTAGAACATTACATTTAAATTTTGTTAATATAGACATACAGCTAGTTTGATATAAATAATATATAATTCACAGTGAACAATTTTGCAAGTTTCATGCAAGGCTCTCCTGTCCCTCACTGACTAGTGATTAAGCTACAGTACCAGGCACTCTAATTCATAAAAACTCATTCCATTTTCTCCTGTGCTCTCTGTTATCATTCATGCTCTCCCTTCACTTTAAGTATGTCTTTCATAATACCTAAACTTTATCCCTCTCTTCTTTTCTATTTCTATCAGGCAAATTCACATAGATGTAAAACCTACCAAAGCTAAAGAAGTTTCACTTCAAAAAGTACAGTTTTTTGTAAAAGGCATGACTACTCAAAACATTTCAGCATAAAGCCACCATGTGCGCATGGGACGTCAGTTTCTCACCTCTTCCATGAAATCGGGTGTCTGGGCATGATGCAGGACCGTGGTGCTGGCTACTGTAGTGAACACTGATGTTCCTGGTCTGCCGTAGATTCTCTGGAAAACCAAAATAACGGGGAATTAATGACTATGGAACAGCTGGGATCTCTGTGTCAGATGATACATGAGGGATACAAAGGAAATTGATCTATATCCTGATAATTTCATAGATGAATTAAATAGCGAAACGAGGTATGTAGAAGTTTGAAATAAGATAACAGGACAAAAAACAAGGACGTTTCGGCATAAAGCCTTCCTCAGCTAACAATAGAAATGAAAATGTAACAAAGAAAAGAGCACAGTAGACAACTCAAGCAGTATCCATTCGTGTCTCCGGAAGTGGGAACACAGGAAGCGAGAGAATATAAATATTGAAAAATTTTTCACAGTGTCAATATTTATATTCTCTCGCTTCCTGTGTTCCCACTTCCAGAGACACGAATGGATACTGCTTGAGTTGTCTACTGTGCTCTTTTCTTTGTTATATTTTCATTTCTATTGTTAGCTGAGGAAGGCTTTATGCCGAAACGTCCTTGTTTTTTGTCCTGTTATCTTATTTCAAGCTTCCACATACCTCGTTTCGCTATTTCATTCATTTACTAAGCTTGAAAGCAGTCCTTTCATTGTTAATTTCATAGTCACTGATTTGTAAGCACTGATTTAGCCAAAGGCTTGTCCTACCTTTAATGGTACAGCACCTTCTTCATCAGAGTCTCTCAGCTCTATGCAGCAGGATATATTTCTAGCCTGCAGATTTGAAGCGGTAAATGAATAATTCAAAATGAGTATTGTTATTGAGGTAGACTATGACATACTCATTAATGAGGATCTCTCAATCCTTTTATTAACACTGTATCATTAAGAATTGTTTCCTTATGTAATTTCTCCAACAACCAGGATTGTATTTCTCATGAAGTTTCTGTTGACTGGCATGATTTACTTGCAGTACCTCACCTTGGCAAAAGCTTTCTGTCCATCGTACTTCAGCGACATGGGTTGGACATACAGGTTGTTGATGTAGGAATCAAATGAGCTGCACAGTTGTGCCACATCGGGTACAAACTCTTCTATCTCCACCGTCGGTATACTTTTGGCCGGTGGCTCGGTGAAGGGCTTCACTGGTATCAATGATGGGGTCAGCGTGACTGGCGTAATAAGAGGGGGAAGTATTTTAACATGTGATGAAAGCAAATTTGTTGGACATGTCCTATCATTAAAGACAAGTCATTCCAAGTATGCAGTATGTTTAACAATCACAAGTGAAAACTCTCTCAAGTTTTTTAAAAATTTCAATTTTCAATGTCGAACTTCCAAATTAGTTAATCCTTGAATCATTTTAATCTCTCTCCCCCCCCCCCCCCCCACAAACTCCTCTCCTTGCAGCAATTTTGATAAGGCAGGTAACATTTAGTTGACTTCAAGTATTACAATCAGTTGGAAATAAGCATTACAGTCAGTCGACTATAAGTATTACACATTACAATCAGTTGACTAAAGTATTACAATCAATGTGTTGCTCTTGGTCCAGCTGTTCAATATGTATCTTGAATTCTCCAGGAATCTCCTGCAGCTTGGACTTCTTATCTGGCCTGTGATAGAAAGCAGTTGATGACATAATTTCAAAAGAAGGTATATTACATTAAAATGGTCTAGATTAACTGCCACACCACTCAAACCATCCCCACAGCACACAACGATATCTCTTGTATAATAAAAAAATAATTAAACTCTTATTGAAATATTTTTAACTACTGACGCTGCAGTTACTGATGTTTATAACTCTTTCAATACTTTTTTTTCATGGCTCACCTTCTCAAGTCTAGCAATAATTTCAGCATTTCCTCTTCAGAATACTTGGCAGTTTCTTGTCTATAGATAGGTAGTTTTGTTGGACATCGAGGCATGGCGCCATCAGGTGAGAGGGGACTAAATCAGAGAATAGTTTTTAAATGAGTTTAGTTAAACCAGAAACTTTCGCTACAATAAATCATAAAATTGTGTTGCCATTTTGTTCATCTCGCTTCACGGCCCACATGTGGTTTGGTCATGGCACTCTCGCTTCACGGCCCACAAGTGGTTTGGTCATGGCACTCTCACTTCACGGCCCACAAGTGGTTTGCTCATGGCACTCTTGCTTCACGGCCCACAAGTGGTTTGGTCATGGCACTCTCACTTCACGGCCCACAAGTGGTTTGCTCATGGCACTCTCACTTCACGGCCCACAAGTGGTTTGCTCATGGCACTCTCGCTTCACAGCCCACAAGTGATTTTCTCATGGCACTCTCACTTCATGGCCCACAGGTGGTTTGCTCATGGCATGGTGAGAGCAAAATTGTGCAAAGAAAATATTCATTGAAAATGTTGTTTATACTGTAGATCAGGGGATCCCAATCTTTTTGGCTCATGGGGCACATTTTTATAAACAATTTCTATGGGGGGAGCTCATTAGGCCTAGAATATGTTTGGGGAGCCCATTAGGCCTACAGCATGTCTCGGGGCAGCCCCTTAGACCTACAATATGTCTTACAAGTCAATAATGTTTAGGAGTTTCTTGGTGTGGAGCCCCCGAGAAGAAGCCCTAAAAGCTGAGCGAAGCACCGGTTGAGAACCACTGCTGTAGATAAAACAATAATGGCATTTGGATTTAATTTGTCCACAATCTCATCTAATTCAGTTACCTTCCAGTAATCATTTTTAACCAGTTTATAACTAGCTTCCTAAACTTCCCTTGGGGCTGTATTCAGCTACTTCTGGGGCTGCATGTTGAGAAACACCTTATCTAGAAAAAGTTCAAGACAAAGTAAGTTTGATTTTTCTCCGACTTACATTGCCGACCAAGCAAACGGCATCCTGTAATGTCCAATATGGGTACAAAACTGTCTCATTTGTCGGTACACCTTGCTGGCCATCTTACTGTCACTGCCTTTCAGATAGGGATCCAGGCACTGGTTGATGGGCCCTTGGAGGACTTTTTCTATACGGGCAACCAGGTAGATGTCCTGATGCCTCCGTACAATGGAGAAGATTCCCTGGATGGTATTCAAGTAAATGTTATGTTCAGCCAACCATGTTGTAATACTATTTGAAAACAAGATCAACTACAAGGGTTGGCACATTATCTTCCTATTGAAAATGGTAACTTTCTACATACAACTACCTTGACATCAACTTTAGCAAGCAGGTGCCCATTATAATATGGAATTAATAGAAAAGGTAATTTTTTGTTTTTTTTAAACACTTTCACATATGGACAGTTTGCATTTTTACAGCATCTTGGGACATCAAGAGCAACTAATAAGGAATACTCAGCTTGTCAACACATTTTGTACATATATGTGAACAATTTATTCTCTAACATGTTTCATTTAAGGCACAGAGGTGGGACAGTTTGGGCCAAATGCTACCAACTTAATTGTAAATGCCTGCCACTTGAGATGTGGAAGAGGCTGAAATGTTCAAATAAGACAAGACTGCATTAGACTGCTGGATCCACCCTGGACAATGATATGAAGAACACAAGCTAATGAGCACCTGTCTGTTGGACTGTGCCACCCAATCAGGTCTGAGACCATTCTGGTCAGGTGAAGTTGGCTCTTTGCCATTGACGGCATGCAGCCTGTCCGGCGCTGCGAATAATTCTGGTGGGATCATGGTCCTGATCTCTGGACTGTTGGGGTCCAAATGGAAGTCTTCCGATACTTTTCTGCCCTCTCTAGCATCGTACACAGAAAAAGTCAAGAAAAATGGCTCAGGCTGTGAAAAAAAAGATAGCCTGTGGCATGATCCATGAAGTTAAATCTATTGAATTGTAAGAAGAGGTTTCGTCACTGCGTTTTCTAGGGAAACGGTTATTCTCTGTCACAACTCTATATTTTATAACCCCAACGATGCACTAGTGCAGTGGTTCTCAACTTTCCTAATGCTGTGACCCTTTAATACAGTTCCTCATGTTGTGGTGAACCACAACCATAAAATTATTTTTGTTGCTTCTTCATAAATATGTGTTTTCCGATGCTCTGAGGCGACCCCTGTGTAAGGATCGTTCTATCCCTAAACGGGTCGCCATACACAGGTTGAGAACCCCTGTCCTAGTGGTTAGCAGTAGTAGTCTAGAAGACTGACACTTTGGGTGGAGGGATAAATCTTGACACCAACTAACCAGGACTACAATAGAAACATCAGCCAGGGTAAAAATAATTTGATTCTTTTAAATTCAACCAAGTTAAGTTAGAAAATTTCTTTTAGATTATCACCGAATACAAGCTACAGTTATAGAAAAAACAAAAAAATATTAGGCTCTTGAAATAAAATATCTTAAGTACATAAAATTTTAACCAAAATAATTTTTTTTCTCCATTTTTTAGAAAAGAAATCTCGTTCACATTGCATTTTTTGTTTCCCTTTCCTTCGTCTGCCAAGTTTAACTGTAGATTGAATTTAAGTTCTTCCAAACGTATTAAGAATCTGTCTGTGTATTGTTTGGGGAAAACATCAACCTCTTTGTCTTCTTCATCTGCTACGTCCTCATCAAAGACATTTCTCTGTGATAAACCATGGATAAGAGAAGTGGTTTAAATGATGATAATTTTAAACAAGGTGTCATCAAGATAATGATAAATTTAAAAGTGTTGGTTTTTTGTTGTATATATTAAATTTAGTAGAATTAAACTTTGTCTTAAACAATTAATTTAATATTAAAAGGGACTACCTTCTTCAAACAGGAGTCGGTCATTAATTTTTTGTTTTAAAGTTACAATTAATAATTATAAATCTTCAATATTAAAATTTAACAATTAAACTCCCCCCCCCCCCCCCAAAAAAAAAATTTAAAAATTAAACCCCCCCCCCCCCCAATAAAAGGATTTTTTAAATATAAACTATGATAGTCCAATCCAGACTTTAGCATTGATATAAATAAAAATAAAATAATAAATTTTAATGTAAGTAACTCAGAGGTAAAAAGAAAAAGTAACAAAGAAAGTAAAGAAACTAGTTCCCTACCCTCATGTCAGGATAAATTCCAAACAAATTTTGCCTGGCCTCCTGCCTTAACTTTGCCAGGGATGAATCGGTTTCTCTGCAGTACTGAAACGGCATAATGAAATCAAGGTTCAAATAAAGCCTATTTATTGCTGAGTATGTAACACCAAAAATAAAGCAACAGAATGCTCGTCTGACAGGATTACTGAATGGTGTCATGCTGGAAAAATATTAAGGTTTACTTTAAAAGGAGCAAAAAAAAAGATAAATAAAGAATTTGAGTAGCTGTTGCAATGACATGATGAGTTAAAAAAAATGATATCATTGTAATGGTAATTTCTTTTTTATTAAAAATTTCATAACTACAAATGGAATACTGCTACTTTTAAGCCCTCAATCCTTAATATAAAATTATTCACCTTTAAGCCCACCTCCACGCATCAAATTTCATTTTGTGTTTATAAACTGTATTCGCATGCAATGGACATGCAATAAGGTCTGCTAAAAGCAGACTCATCAATTTCAGAGCAAAATTAAAACAAATTAGTGTCTAGTTCATCTGATTCTGCCTGAAAGTTAATTTAAAAAAAAAAAAAATTAAGAAAAACTAAAATTTACCAAATTTATTTTAAAAGATGCTGGATTAAAATAATTATAAAAAATGAAAGAGTCTGCACGCAATGAAAGTGAGAGTTACGTAGAAAATTAAAGGTTTCCAAAGAAAACCATGCAGAGCATTTAACTATGTTTTGAAACCGAAAACCTGTTATTGATTTTCACAAACCCATTACTAGTAGCAAATTTTGTAATCGTAATTAAAAAAACAAATTGACTTTGTATTATTTAATAGTCACATTAATACCCTTACAGTAAATGTATGCAATAGTTATTGGGATCACATGTCCATCGCATATCAAATGCTACGGTATGGTACAATTTAACGGGGTTAGCTGAAATCATGGAAGGTCACTTCCAAAACTAGGTGACTGCCCTTTATATGAAATCTGAGATGGCTTTGCTTTACAACTTGTATGTGTAGACTGCTGTCAGTCAACAGGTTGGTGTAAGTGCAGATATCATCACAGTATACATTCAATTAAACGATTAATAATTACTGCATTTATTACATATGCAATACATGTGGATCAACCTAGAAGTCAGATCAGTATATAAATAACATTTTACTGAAATCAAAACTGATTTACAAATATGGCTGGTCACATTAGCCAATCTGATGCCTGAGACAAAAAATGTTTTCAACCATTGCTGGCCGCAAACAGTGTTTGCCACGAACAATACACAGCGCTGGCAGCACTTCTGGAATGCATGTGTGACAGTTGCACTTAGTACTCTAAAAGTTGTCCCTGGGGCTTTGGTTTGGGTGGGTAAAGTGCTGGAACCAAACTTTAATATTATAATCATACAGGCGAGTTAGTGGTTTTATAATCTCTAAAAATAATAGATTTATACTTCCACTAACAAGCTTATAAAAGTATGTCAACATATCACTTTGTTGTGCTGAGAGTTAAATGCTTCGTAAAAATTAAAAAAAACAGTTTAAAACAGATTATAAAATGAACGCCAATTTGTCAAAAAATCTAGTGTTAACATCACTAATTATAATCATCATTCTATTTGTAGAAAAAATTATTTATATTGTTTTTAAACCAAAACAGCAAATTATTGTAGTTTTTTAAAATTAACTGTTGGCTATTTTTTTTTGTTGCAAATTCAAGATTTTTCTTCAAAAACTTGGATAAACCCAATAGCTTATTATTATTGCAATCGGCCGGATGCAGATCAAAGGCTAAAGGTTGGAGACTTTGAGAATAAGATATGAAGTTATGTTAGACCATTGGATTTGAATATTAAAATCTATTTGTATTGACTAAAAGCTATTGCTAGAAATCTACACTGTGATTGTTAAACAGATCTTGTTAAATCAAATTGTCATTCTGAAGCAAATTATCTTGACTGCTAAATTATTAAATGAGGAAAAGATTTTTTGTGATAACATGCTCAACGATCCACCATTTTCAGTCCAATGGCTAAAAAAATATTTTGCATGTTAATTTCAAGTCTGAAGCAACTCTGAAAATAAAATTGCACACACATATGGAAAAATATGTTATGTCTATGTTAATAGAGGACATAAAATGCAGAGGCCCTTCAGTGGTTTAAATTCAATTCACCAACACATATGGGGATTTATTTCCTTGACTGTTTTGTTAGATAGATGCAGTTTAGTAGAATCAGGCACTTGATTGCATTCTGCAGATTTTTCTAGTTATTTTTCTCTTGATGGTGAAAATAGGCACAACAATGAGAAACACAGTTCAAAACAAAATTAGGGCAGGTCACTCAGAGTTCCACCACTATTACACGTTATTTACCCCTGCTTTCTTCCTTCTAATTACTTTAGGAACTCCAACTGGCTCTTTAAACTCATTTAAACCTTCTGCAGTGTTGCTACCATCAACCTCTATGCATGGGGATGGTAGTTCAGGGGCTGATACACGGGGGGCAGAAGGTGCAGAGGACGGAGGGGCATGGGGTGGGGGAGGGGGAGGTGGCCTGCGTGGTGGGGCTGGTGGCTCTATGATAACATCGCTGAGGGATTCTATGGAGTCAGTACTGATATCCAAAGATACTTCCTGAAAGTAATGTCATGAGAGAAGAAAAATTGGCAAGAGATTCAAGTAACAGTTGCATTGACTTAAGATTGAAACCTTGAGAAAATAATTCTGAGAGAGAAACCAAGTATAATGACATTGAAGTATTTACTAAAAAAATATAACTTAAGTGAAAATTCTTTCTTTATTGTTAACTGTCAAAAAAATAAAAATAAACAAAGGTCTTATATTATACCTTTAAGGGAAAGAGATAAATTCTCTTGATAAGCATTTACAATAGAATTTAAAAAACTATTGCAACCAAAAAAAAATATATATAAAAATAACACATTTTTAATTTGTGTTTTTTTTTAAATTCATGCTATATAAATGTAGATATTTTCATATACTTTTACCACGATCTCATACCAAGTTGTTAAATGCAATATTCATTTTTGGACAGACCTTTACACATACAAAGAAATGAACTACTATATTTTGCCTATACTTTCTCCATACACAAAACATCAATGATAAAATGAAGATGAGAATACCATCCATGGAGAGGATACAGATTAACAGTGCAACAAAATCAAAGATAACACAGTGGAACAAAACACTGAAATTTCTTAAAATGAATAAGGAATACAACACTGACCTTCACAACTGGGTGATTGATACTGCTTTCTTTATAGTTCTCTGGCGTTCCAGCCGAAGCATTCTCCTCTGAATAGGAAAAAATAATATATAACAATTTCACAAGTATCTTTCTTTAAAGAACCAAATAGGCTGGCAGCACTTGCCAGAAAAGCAGGTGCAAACATGATGGCTTTTCATTGCAAACTTGATGGCTCTTCATTGAAAACATGGTATGCTTTTCATAATAAAAAAATTAGTCCTAAAAGTTGCTATAAAAATGTGTAAATGAAGGGTCAAATGTTGGAAGATTGCTCTTAATGCCTTAAACTAAAGTAGCAGCAGCAAGAAGAGAGGGTCCCACTACAGTTTAGAAACATGATCTACAAAATGCTGGCCTTAGATCAAAGTATCTAGACACCTAAGTATAACAAGAAAATGATGTTGAGTAAAAAAAAAGAAGCAGTTCGCTAACAGTGGTACAGTAATGTAACATGATATTAATACAACTCTAAAATTTCTTTTTAACAATAATTTATGACACACATGTAGAAAAAAAAAACTGAAGACCTTTTGTCACATTCCATAAGAAATACTTGTGAAAAAAAAAAAATTTAAAAAAAATGTTAATTACGATATTTCCTAAGACCCGTACTCAATTGAAACTGCTAACACGCTATTTCTTCCTCCAAAAGAACAATTTGAAGGATGCCAACAATTTTTAATGTCCGTTTTCCTCCAATGCAATACAATTACTAATTTGAATTATTTGAAGACTGAACAAGCTTGCTCTTAATCAGGGTTCAATCACCATCATGGCTTTTGCTCATTTATCTGTTTGTCATTAGTATACGGTGACCACTTTTTTTTTTCAAAATCAAAACCGGGACATTTTAACACTTCAAATTTAAAACAAAGACATTTTAAATTCAAAACCAGGGCACTTTAAAATTTCACACCAGTTGGGTCAATTATTCATGCCTGTATTTCAGATGCACTGGATCTTTTGATAAATTACTTAAATAAAATTATTTTTTAATATTTTAAAAACTGTACTGATTTCAAATCACAACAAACCACGACAAGATCTAAAAAACAGTTTTGTCGTGGTAAGAACAATACAAATGGTCACCTTATGCTAGTGATTTTTTGGATTCATTGTAAAGCTTACCTTTGATGCTTTCTCTTGAAGCTTGGGAAGCAGTGTCAGCAGAATTAATTACTTTGTTTAATGTTGTTATCCAATCATGGGCCTCTGCTTCATTCTCTGCTGCCAGCAAACATGGCTGACGGTTAGTCATTTTGATCTCAAAACAAAACTTTCCTTTCTTGGGGTTCTGGGGCATGAAAAAAACAAGATTATTGAAAAGTCACATTTAAGTATAGATTTATATCTCATAACAAATGCCCATAAAAATGTTATTCTATTTTGTCCTCATGAATTTAAGCCAACAGGTAAATTTACCATTATTTCTGTAAGAATATGGAAGTTTAATAACCTATAAGACTACCATATCTTATTAAAAATTTCATATATTTGATGAATTTTCTAAATGGGTTACACAGCTCCCTCAAGGGCCAATGGTAGCAATCAAGAGCCAATGGTAGCAAACAAGGGCCAATGGTAGCAATCAAGGGCCAATGGTAGCAACCAAGGGCCAATGGTAGCAACCAAGGGCCAATGGTAGCAATCAATGACCGATGGTGGCAACCAAGGGCCGATGGTAGCAATCAAGGGCCGATGGTAGCAATCAAGGGCTGATGGTAGCAACCATGGGCCGATGGTAGCAATCAAGGGCCAATGGTAGCAACCAAGGACCAATGGTAGCAATCAAGGGCCTATGATAGCAATTATAAACATGAGCACCTTAACAACTTCAGTGGCCAAGTCTAGAAAGATGGCTCCCTTGACATCAGATTTCTTATCGTCCTTAAAAATTTCTAGCAAGTACGTGTAGTCAGACTGCTGCTTTAGTTGGAAGAATCTACGCTTGAATTGCTATGGAAAGAACAAAGTATGCCAGGTTAGACAAGTCAAAATCAAATTGGCTAAATTAACTTTGAAGTTTGAATTCATTTAGAGTTTGTCACTGTAACAGTGATATTGTAATGATATGAAGTGAAGCAAGTTTAACAAATTTAATAAATAAGTATACCTAGTGCTAAAATAAGCGACATTATATAGTGATTAATTTCTGTTATGTGTATATGTTTGTGTATATTTAAGGGATGACTGGAGGCGACTATAATTTTTCTCTTGTAGTTCCCCTTATCTATATTTATATCTATGTATCACTTCTCTGACAGAAAATAGTGCTTTTCAACTCAACTGCAAATTAACATCAAATATCATTATGTTACAGATAGCAAAAACTAAAATATTTCAGCAAGACATATTCATAAATTTCTGGTTAATTTTTAATGTAACATGATCATAATTGCTGGTAAATTTTAATGTAATTTTAGATATTGAAAATTTAAATTAAAAAAAAATTAAATGGAAAAAGATTAAGCCAAAATATTTGTTGTTTTTACCACAGTCTACAAATATTTTGGGATGATTAAACAAACAGCATGAGCACATGACTGACCTTAGTAAAACTAATGATGTTGTCTTTTCCCCCATCAGGTCCTTTCAACAGCCAACCTTTCTTAATGACGACAGACATAAAGCCATGACTCATTGTGTCCTGAGAAGACAACAGGGAAGCAAATGATAAGCACGTGTTTCAAATGCTATGTAGCACTATGACGTCTGCAATTCACTGGCCTCATGTGGCTGTCCTCAAACCCACACATATCCACCTCAACCCCCATTTGGCCACCTCAACCTACATAGGGCTACCTCAACCTACATAGGGCTACCTCAACCTATATAGGGCTACCTCAACCTACATAGGGCTACCTCAGCCTATATAGGGCTACCTCAACCTACATAAGGCTATAAGTGGCATGGTGCTGCTGGTATAAACTAAACAATCGAAAGATGTTTTATATTATATACTCTAGAGCCGGGTCTTCAACTAGTGTGTCACCAAGGTTCATAGGTGTGTCACTAAGGTTCATAGGAGCGTCACCAAGTTTCACAGACGTGTCACCAAGATTCACAGGTGTGTTGCCAAGATTAACAGGTGTGTCACCAAGATTCACAGCTGTGTCGCCAAGATTAACAGGTGTGTCACCAAGATTCGCAGCTGTGTCGCCAAGATTAACAGGTGTGTCACCAAGATTCACAGCTGTGTCGCCAAGATTGACAGGTGTGTCACCAAGATTCACAGCTGTGTCGCCAAGATTCACAGCTGTGTCACCAAGATTCACAGCTGTGTCGCCAAGATTAACAGGTGTGTCACCAAGATTCACAGCTGTGTCGCCAAGAATAACAGGTGTGTCACCAAGATTCACAGCTGTGTCACCAAGATTAACAGGTGTGTCGCCAAGATTTCAATTTAAATTAATAAAAGTAAATAAGAAGAAGATTTCAGGACGATTTTTTCTCTAAAGAAGATGGAAATAATAATAATAACAGCTTTAAACTGTAATGATGATAATCTCCATGCACCCTACTGCTTACTCTGACAGTAAGCTGGTACATCTGAATGCTGTGTGGTAACGCACCCTACTGCTTACTCTGACAGTAAGTCGGCACATCTGAATGCTGCGTGGCAACGCACCCTACTGCTTACTCTGACAGTAAACTGGCACATCTGAATGCTGTGTGGCAAAGGTTGAACAATTACTTCTAGTTGTGTGGCAAGGTGAAGATGCAATGATGCTGCATCAGAGAACTTTCTCTCTTGTTGCTATTATATGCTGTCAGTAAGACTTGCCCAATGACATTTTTTTTAATTTTTTGGTTTCTGTTTAACATAACACGTTTCCAGAGTAACCTTTTTTTTTTTTTAAAACCAAACATTATTTATTCTAAACTTTCTTTTTAAAACCTTGAATTATTTATTTTAAACTTTTTTTTTTTTAAACCATAAATTATTTATTTCCAACTTTTTTTAAAACCATAAATTTTTTCTTTTAATATGAAAAAAAACCCCATTCATTATTTATTTTATATCATAAAGAAATCTTACATCATCTTTTTCCTCCACCTCTGCATCAATTTCAAATATATGTTCCTGGAGAGGTTCCTTCTTTGTAACACTGACAGATTAATTATAAAAAAAAGGTAACATGATTTAGAAAGGATCACAGTTATTGGTAGCAAATTAGATGTCATTTCTACAATAATGCTGGTAGGAGAGGCATCTGGAAATAACAAGAAATAATCCAACAAAACAGATAGTTTGAGAAGCACTGGTATGACAGGGTTCTGGAAATAACAAAAAAATAATTCAACACAAGATATAGTTTGAGAAGCAATGGTATGACAGGGTTCTGGAAATAACAAAAAAATAATTCAACACAAGAGATAGTATGAGAAGCACTGGTATGACAGGGTTCTGGAAATAACAAAAAATAATTCAACACAAGAGATAGTTTGAGAAGCACTGGTATGACAGGGTTTTGGAAATAACAAAAAAATAATTCAACACAAGAGATAGTTTGAGAAGCACTGGTACGACAGGGTTCTGGAAATAACAAAAAAATAATTCAACACAAGAGATAGTTTGCAAAGCACTGGTACGACAGGGTTCTGGAAATAACAAAAAAATAATTCAACACAAGAGATAGTTTGCGAAGCGCTGGTATGACAGGGTTCTGGAAATAACAAAAAAATAATTCAACACAAGAGATAGTTTGAGAAGCAGCCTTTAAGAAGAATACATGTAACATTTTAGTGACAAAAGTTACAAAGAGTTTTTTTTTTTTTTTTTTTTTAATGAAAAATTNTGACAGGGTTCTGGAAATAACAAAAAAATAATTCAACACAAGAGATAGTTTGAGAAGCAGCCTTTAAGAAGAATACATGTAACATTTTAGTGACAAAAGTTACAAAGAGTTTTTTTTTTTTTTTTTTTAATGAAAGATTCTGCTCAGAGATGTCATATAAAAATCTTAGTATCTAAAATATATAAAAGGAGAGAATTACTTAAATTGATCATGGGCCCCCCTCAAATCTAAGAAGAAGAAGAAGGTACCCTGCATCGTCATAACTGATTACTCCCTGACAGCCCCCCTGCCCCCCACAAGAGTTATCTTTGACTGACCTGATAATTAGTTCCAAGACATTCCCCATAGCTCAATACCAATAATCTAATAATGTACTAAGAGGACACAAAGTTGAAAATGTTAATGCTCTTGAAATGTTTAGACAAGCAGAGCTGAACAAACTTGACTCTAACTAAAACTTGAGGTGTCTCTGGTTTCATGCCAAAATATTTTTGTTACAACCCATGTGCCAATAGCAGCAAGGTTAAGATGACATTTTTATGTTGAAAAGACATGCATTTTTTTTTTTACAGTTTTTTTTTTTTTTTTTAAAGTTTTTAGTAAATATATGCTTTAAAGCAATGGTGAACTAAAATGTCTTAAAAGAAAATTTGTCTTAAAAAGAAAATGAAGTGCTGCCATTTGGTCAGACGTACTTGGGTAGCTACAGCAAGGTTAAGATGACATTTTTATGTTGAAAAGACATGCATTTTTTTTTTTTACAGTTTTTTTTTTTTTTTTAAAGTTTTTAGTAAATATATGCTTTAAAGCAATGGTGAACTAAAATGTCTTAAAAGAAAATTTGTCTTAAAAAGAAAATGAAGTGCTGCCCTTTGGTCAGACGTACTTGGGTAGCTGCTGGTAGCTGCCGGCGTAGGCCTGGTACTTGAACTTGATCATCTGCAGCTCACTGGTGTATGTCTTTATGCATTCCTTGACCATCAGGCTGGTCACCTCTTGGGCAGCATTAGCTGGAACCGTGGACACCACCGTTCGAGTCTTACGCACAGGGGTGGGTGGCTGTGTGAGAGAGAGAGAGTGACGCACGTAAGACTTGACTGCGGGTTAAATTGTCACCTATTATTCTTAAACCCTTTGTACAAATGTATGTTGTATCCAAATGTAATTATTTCATCATGGTTTTGGCCAAATGTGTTAAATTTGAACAGTGCACATACTAGCCTAAATGTCATTGAACCGTGACCATTCAATTAAATCTTTCTGTTACACCTTGTTTCAACAAAATACATTTTCCCCACCCTCACAGAATGTGACACCTACCGGCTGCTCCACATCATCATGTGGGAAATTAAGCATGTCCCTCTGTGGGTCATTGTGGAGCAGGACTTTATTCTTGACCACAAAAGTTTCATAGTCCACGGGTTCAACGAGCTTGGGTCTAGACTGAGTAGGAAATGTAATAAACATTTGCATTACTGTTTAAGTTTTGTAAGACAAACGATGGAACCACAATTTGGGTATTGACTGGAATAAGTACAAGTTTGGTAAAAACTCTTCATTGATCAAATTTTTTTGTAATTGGTATTTACCAGATGACTGCCTCTCAACTGTTGTTCAACTCATTAGGGTAACTCGACACTAATGCTGCAGCTGAGGTATTTGGTGAAAGGAGGGGGAGAGTAGTCGTCTCAAGCAGACATTTTAGAAGTTATGAGCCCTTTAACAAATTTTTAAATTGACTAGAAAAAACAACAACAAAAAAGCATCTTAACCCCACCCCGTTGACCTTTTAATGTAGCCAAGTGGTATGGTTATGCCATTGGTTGCGGCTTAACTTTATTCTGTTGACAAATGGTTGTAGGGGAAAAAAAGATATTACAGTAAACTTTAATCAAATTAAAACATTATTTTCAATATCAGCAATTGGCCCAATGGTTTCTTTCTTAAAACTAATGAAAATAACCTTACAAGATCCTTTAATTTAATTTTTGCTTAAAATGCATGTCTTATGTCAATAATCCATTATGCCCCATCTGAGTGATTATGTCAATGAAACTTAGATTAGTGTTTTTATAATTCCCTTTTATCTTTCTATTTTAATGCATGTCAACAGACAAGGGCCTTGATCCATGAAAATAAGAGCAGTTTTAACACTATATGATTATGCATACAGAACCTACCAGGTGGACCTGGTCAGTATTTACTGAATTGGGAAACTTTTCATTCCCAGTTCTTGGAGATTGTTGAAAATGGGAACGATGATGAATCATTACAGAAGTAAGCTGAGATGGAAGTGACTTGTTGCGCTGAACTGGCATGATTTCTTTCTTATTAGATGTCCAGAGTTTTAAAGACCAGACCAGCTTATGACCAAGTTAAAGTCCTTGTATATCATATTCAGAGTTTTCAAGACCCAACCAGCTTATGACCAAGTTAAAGTCCTTGTTCATCTTATTCAGAGTTTTAAAGACCCGACCAGCTTATGACCAAGTTAAACCAGCTTAAGACCAAGTTAAAGTCCTTTGTTCATCATATGTAACTAAAACTCTTCATTCAGAACAAATCGCTATACAGTAAGAGCAATGAGGAACAAATGGCCAGATATAAATAACCTAGTGAATGGATGATGTAAAAAAAAAAAAAATCTGTCAGCTCTGGATCCATCTTTAAATTTAATTTAGTTCCCATTTCAAAATGAAATCATTTTCACAAAATATCATAGCAATGAAATGAAGTGGACTCTCTGTCATCACAGCACTCATAATGATGGAAATATTCAGAAACAAATCACTTTTTAAATTCTTAATTAACACTGCGAAAACACATCTTAATCAAAGTGAAAGCATCAATTACACAGAATTCTTTGTGAACATGAGTAGACTGTATGAAAACTAAACACTCAATGTATCAAGAATTTATTGATTGAATCGCTCCGTTTAGAATTTTAAAAAATATGGTTTTTCTTGGTTCTGTGTTATCAAAACTTTGAGAACCGGCCAGAGAAAATAATAGCTTCTATGACTTAAAAGATTAATATTTCTCTATGGCTTTAATTTGGAACAAAAGCAATGTGTTTTATGCTAAAAATATTTCTTTTAAGATCAAGTAAATGACAATAACTAGCAACTGTGATAGAATATTTGACAAGGCTGTCAAAATCAGAGGCCAGCTTGTTAAGTCACATTTTGGCAAAGTAACTGTTTTCTGAGAGCTCTTGCGTTCAAAAGTTGTGACAAACTGGTAGGTAAAAAAACAAACTTTTAACTTTTGTTAAAAAAACCTCTTCAAATCAGGATTGTCTGTCTACCTTCTTTTAAGTTAATGAATGTTAACACTACAGGAAAAGTACCATTTCTTCTCTGATATGGAAATATTTAATACCAAAACAACTCAAAATGTGGCCATCTTCTCTTTTCTCTACTATGAGTTTATGTGGAATTTTTTTTTATTGTTGGGAGCCAACTTATTTTATATTAAGAATTTTAAAGTGATTTAACAATCCTTTAAAAAATACTTTGAATTATTTTGAATGGTATATTGTTTTATAAAATCCGTGTTTTTATGATATGATCAGACTTTATCAGTGTATTAAAACCTAATAATTTCTTAACAAAGTCGAGAGACACTGACAGAGGAGAGTAGTTTCTGACTCGGAAGTCATTTAGTTCAGAGCCTTGGTCCACTCATTTTTACAGCATATATTTTACTATTCCGGTCAGGATATTTTTTGTTGGTTTGTTCACCAAGTGAATCAAATTGTGATTTATCGAGAGACAGCACAGATCCATACAGAAAAATACAGTAAATTATGTTCACACTCATCAATATCTCCCTTTTAAAACACTCAGAAAACTAGCTTTTGAAAAAAATCTTCAATCTGCAGCAATCTTGAAACAAAACAATAAAACCTTAGAATTTAAGTCTCAAAACAGTAGTGACCAGTTCTATATAGCTACATCATAGAGAACTGTGTGAGAGGGGGAGAATCCTTGGCAAACCTCCTGTCCAACACACATCCAACATCATGAGTCATTTTTGTCACAGATTACGTTTGATGAGAAGGACATTTCTATACAGATATTTTGTTGTACTCTTCAAATAAAAAAAAAATTAAAAAATCAGTTATAGCCTAAAGCTCAATCACAATGACAAGACATCAATCATGAGCTCATTAACAGCAAGAGGCGACTGCAAAAATATGTGAACACTCTTGAATAAATTATGTAAACAGGATAACCAAAAATGCTTGTGAACAATATAACAGTAGGATTTAATCATTCAAATGTGTCGCTCACATAAAGGAATTTTTAAATGGTTGTTAAATGTTTAAGTTTTTCTGATAATGGGGGTGCCAAGCAACAGCGACCTTTACGAGATGTTTGAAGCGAGATTTAAGCCTGTGGAAATGACTTGAAATACACACTATTTATGAATGCCATGCTCCACCACACCTTCCAGCCACTTGCCAACCATTGCTGTAACAATGTTACTGGTTGTTTGCTGGTGGCCTTTATTTACTTCATGTCAGTGGACCACAAACAAAACCATGGCTACATTTAAACATGGGGCCTTTGCACCCCCCCCGCACTTTTTTTTTTTTTACACACAGTGTTTATTCCGTCCTTTCATTGCCTCTAAATTTATTTTTAATGTTAAGCATTTCTAATCACCATTTTTAAAATGTGCTGGTGGCCTTTATTTACTTCATGTCAGTGGACCACAAACAAAACCATGGCTACATTTAACCCTGGGGCCTTTGCCCCCCCCCCGCACTTTTTTTTTTTTACACACAGTGTTTATTCCGTCCTTTCAATGACTCTAAATCTATTTTTAATGGTAAGACATTCTAATCAGCATTTTTAAAGCATTTACACCAGGGGTTCTCACATACAGACCTCAAAGCCCTGTCTGGTGACCTGCTAATGACAAGTGTTCCAATATACGGACAACAAAGCCCTATCCAGTGATCTGCAAATTGACCATGATTCTCACATGAGGACACACCCAACCTCTATGCAGGGGGCCAGAAAAATTAAAATCACTAATATCAAACAACAATCACAAGGTTATAATTCAGAAGTTTGCTTCTACTGACAATCTCAAACAATGACCTTAACTCTCCCAACATAATATGACCAATGCATTCTCCATGAGATGTATTGAGCTTTTTTTCAATATTTGATAAGCACACTAATGTCTCCCCTCTGATATTTAGGCTTGACATAAAGTCTAGCCCACTGAAATGCCAGAGTCGTTCCATGAGTGTGCATTTGTGCCAACAGAACTAGCCGCCCCACTGTCATCATATTTCACAGCTTCCTACACCAGCTAGACAGCAGCATTTCTCAAATTGTTATTTTCCCAACAAATTTTAGTACAATTTTCTGGACCCAACGCCACCACAGTTCAAATGTGATACCAGCAGATCTAACGTGATCCGTTCAATTCATAACAAGAAATCACAGTTTGAGAAACACTGCTGGGTTTGTGTGTGTGTGTGTGTGTGTGTTTGTGTGTTTGCAAGAAGAAAGCTCTGGCATGCACCAGTTTCAGCCATGCCTAATCCACAAAAACTGAGCCCTGCCCCTATACTGAAACTAAAGTAAACTAAATCCCCTGGCTTAACTGGAATGTCATTCCAGGAAGCAAGGAGATTGACTAACTTGAACAAGAATAAAGACAAACACAGCTAGTGAATACTTTAACAAGTGCAGTGATTTACAAGCTGCCACTCACAACAGCTCAAGAAGAAATCTCCCAAAGGGTCACAATGATAAAATAATTTCATGATATAAATGGATAAACTTAGCTCCGGATCTAGTATGATAAATTATAATTTCATATACTAGAAAGTAACAAGACACAGGAGATGATAAACTTAGCTCCCGATCTAGAAAGCTAAATTATTATTTCATATACTAGAAAGTAACAAGACATAGGAGAAGATAAACTTAGCTCCCGATCTAGAATGCTTAATTATTATTTTATATACTAGAAAGTAACAATACACAGGAGACCCAGGCTGCAGATGCTAACAATACAATTCAATACATATTTATAAAGCTCTATTGTCACAGCGAACACAAATGCATCCTTTAATCCTGTAGTCTAAAAATATTTTCAATTAATTTTTTTTTTAGAGTGCTAGCAGACTCTGATCACAGACTGGCATTAGCGACTCAACCTTCAACTAAATCTAAATTTGTGTCAGAGAAAATGATCACTGTAGTCATTTACGGTACACACAATTCCCAAATCAGGCTTAATTCAAAGTTTCACAATGATATCCTAACAGTTGAAGAATGATTTCCAAATCTTTTAACTCTTTCTACAAGTTACAAAAAGATATTAAAAAAAAAAAAAAAAGAGAAGAAGAAAATCTTTCAGTGTAAACAGAATGTCATATTTTATCACAAACCTTTCATCCTCTGATGATAAGGTAACAGAGACGCCTTTCTTTCTATCAAGCTTCCTTTCAGAATTGTNTTTCCCCCAGTAAAAGTCAGAAGGAAAAAAAAAAAAAAAGGTGGGGGGGTGGGGGGGGGGGGGGGGGGAGTGACTAAATTAGTAACAACTAAGAGAAAAGACTTATTCAATTCAATTAAAGATAAACTTAATAAGTAATTAGGATCTATGAATCTGCCAGACGATATTTTAAAATGTCATTATTTGAGTCCTCAGTTTAGGTATGAGCGGTAGGGGTTAATAGACAAGTATCACCTGGGTTGTCTGAGATGGGAGGTAGGGGTTAAGAGACAAGTATCACCTGTGTTGTCTGAGATGGGAGGTAGGGGTTAATAGACAAGTGTCACCTGGGTTGTCTGAGATGGGAAGTAGGGGTTAATAGACAAGTGTCACCTGGGTTGTCTGAGATGGGAAGTAGGGGTTAATAGACAAGTGTCACCTGGGTTGTCTGAGATGGGAAGTAGGGGTTAATAGACAAGTATCACCTGTGTTGTCTGAGATGGGAGGTAGGGGTTAATGGACAAGTATCACCTGGGTTGTCTCATATGGCAGGTAGGGGTTAATGGACAAGTTTCACCTGAGTTGTCTCATATGGCAGGGAGGGTTTTATGAGCAAATACAAACTATCTTAATGTTATAACCAACCTACCTAATCAACTCGAGCTCTAATAGTGAATACAACCAGACCTATGTGAATAATTTGGTAACAATGCTGCCAGCCGTGATTTGAATTTTGTTGAATCCTAATTTTCTATTTAATCTTTCTACAAGCCATTCTGATATATTGGTCTCATCATTAAAAATGTACCCACCCATTTTCTGCACCCTTGCAATGTTGAAGGAAAAAAAATGGTTTTGCTTTTAAAGTAGAAGCTAAAATGCAATTCTCTAATTTGTTCTTTTCTCCTATTCTACCAACAAGGGGATCTTCGAAGTAAGATGGATGCTGGCAGTCACTTACACATCCCAATATTTAACTCTTTTTTTTTTTTTTGTATACTTGAATAGGTACGTTATAGAATTTTGAAATTAGTTTAAGTACACTATACAAATAAGAGAAAAAAAAAGGGGCACTACTCTACACCATTTATTTGAATCACTTGGTCGCTAAAGTGGAGACTAGTCAATTCACTTGCTTTGGTTTCTTTTACGCAGGAATTCAGACCAACTGCCAATCCTCTACTAATGACCTATTCCCTATCCAAACATCTTGGAAATTATAAATGCTAAATGAGAGAGAAAATTAATGTTCTAGTTTTTTAATTTATTTTAATTTTCTATTCCATTTCTTAATGGATTTTCACGAACGTCCCCTATAATAATAATAATTTGTTTGTCAACAAATAATGGAAACAATGATGTTATGGCTAAAGATGAGATGATGTGGGGGTTACTATCCTCAGTCCCATGCATATATTGTGTCCGATCAATGCTTGGCTGTACAAAAATAAAACATTGAATCTGTACAAGCTTAGTGAAAGAAGTGAAAAAAAACGACCAAAAAAAAACAAGAAAGGGTTAGAGATGTTGAATGTTTACAGGTGCCCGCCGCCTCCTCCTCCTCCTCTTCCAGCAGCAAAACTGGCAGGTACAATGGTATTTTTTTGGCCCAACCAGGTTATCTGTAATTACATCACTGATGGCTGCACAGGTTAAGGTAGAGAAAGGTTGAATTGACATTGAGAAAAGGGGGAGGGGAATGTGGAGGTGGACATACCCAATACAGACAAAAACAGGTGGTGTTGTTTTACCCCCCCCCCCCCCCCCCCCCAACCCCCATGGCTGCACAGGTTAAGGTAGAGAAAGGTTGAAATGACAGTGAGAAAAGGGGGAGGGGAATGTGGAGGTGGACATACCCAATACAGACAAAAACAGGTGGTGTTGTTTTACCCCCCCCCCCCTCCCCCACAGAATCCGCTATTCCTTTTCTCCTGACAAACATTCTCGGCAATGATTTTTATTGCATGTATTAACTGAAGGGTTTATATTTGTCACTAGTTCTCTGCTCATATTTTTTACTGACACCAAGATACTAGAAATTCCTTAAATTGCTGACACTGTGACTAAATCAACACTGAATCAACCATTCCTTCTTATCATTTCATTAGCTGCTAGGGCTTAACCGGGTGCAGTTTTTTTTAAAACCGGGTCAGGGTATTTTGAGAAATTGTCCTTTAGACAGTCCTAACCTTTCTTTACCTGCGGCCTTGAAACAATAGGCCTACAGACAGTCCTACGCCCTACCTGCCAGCCTTTAAGCAATGGGCCTACACCAGATAGTCCTACTCCATACCTATGACTCTTTATTGATTAATATAATAGAACCCACCCCGCTCCCCAAATTTGTTTTCTGAGTTCACTTGTCTAGCATGACAGCCTTTTTTCACTCAGGACTATGGAGAACCTTTGGAGTTGGGGTGAGGGCGCTTTTGAAATGGAAGCAGGACACACCAGAAGCAAAATATATATAAGAGATGAATGAGTTATTTTTATCACATGGAAAAATATCACACCATAAATAAAATGTCATTGTTGATGTGTGATGATGAAGCTCAACAACCAGTGCTACAAGATGGGTTAAATAATTACTCAGGTGCCCACAGCACTGATGGCATCATTCTGAGTGGAAGCTCTTTAATGTAATATTTCAAACATTTAATCTTCCCACATACAACAAGATTTAAATTTATTTCTTTTTAATTTTTTTGGTCCTTTAGGTGTTTAATTTAGTTTCAGGAGGGCATTTTGGGAATTTATTGACTGAATAGAGCGGAGCTTAATTTTAAAGAAGAAGAATCCTTTTGAAAATAAGGAGTGAAATTAAGATTACGATCATTGGAACCCAGTAAAGAGATCAAATTTTTTAACATTACAAACCAAATTAAAATTACATAATTATAATAACTTGACAGAAACTCAAAAATTGACAAATCAAGATCAAAAAATGAAAATGTAAAAAACTTGATTCAATTAAATGTGATAGTTAGAAAAAAAATCTGGTGCCATTAAACCCTTTCGCTATCGATGACGTTGACGCGACGTCATGATCATCCACTTTCAATTACCAAGGACGTCATATTGTTGTCATAACAAAGAGGCAAAAAACTTTTCTGAAATACCACGGACGTCACGTCGACGTCATATTTCAATGCTATATTTCTTTATTCATTAATCTATAGAGAAGTTAAAAGCGAATCGGATAGAGAATGAAAAATACTGGAAATTTCTTCTTCTTTTTTCTTTTTTAATTTTTGTTTTATTATTATTATAAAAAAAATAAAAATAAAAGTTTTTTATTGCTGTGTCAGCAAAAATCGATGCCCCCCAAAAACCAGCGGTAATAAAAGGGTTAAAACAATATTTATAAAAAAAATATTGATAAAGTCAGTATAAAAGATAAATAGAGTGAAAAAAAATGCATTTGATCAAAGTTACACACTATACTCACACAAGACCTCATTAGAAGTTGATACTGAGGGCATTGTCACAAAAATTAAACAAAATAAAATTAAAACATTTTCTATATCTTTGTACTTACATACTTTTACCATTTACCATACAATTATATTTTGTAAAGGCAGTTATTAAAATTTTTTAATAGCCGACAAATTAATAAAAATGTTAAAATATAGTGCAAAATTTTATTATTGTCAGCCCTCCTTAAAAAAGTCCACACAGACTTTCAATAGATTTAAATATTTACAAAACCCAAATTTCAAAAATATTTCAAGCCAAGTTAGGACCATTTAAAATTAGTTTAAAAAAACTCAATTTGATTTAACTATGAAACAATATTAAAAATACTTTTAAAAGAACAAACACTTTCCCAAAAAAATGTGCTTCATTTGTATAAAATAAATGTCCCCCCCCCAACGCTTCAGAGTTGTTAACAGTCATATTACTAATATGGGTTTATCTGCATTTTTATTTGCATCTTTTATCATGTTTCGAAATTGAGGTGAGGGTGCATGGATTGTTCTGAAATCTAGAGCGAGTGTAGCGCTGCAAAAAGGTTAAGGACCCCTAAGATAGAGTGCAGATGGTGGTGATAAGAAGTACTCAGATTTAATTTTAGATAGTTAATTGTGCTTAACTGTTTAAGCTTCTTTTTTTAAAAACTGATCTTCACTATGCTGTGGCATATGATAGAATATAATTCAGTTGAAAAGCCTACTTAAAGCATTAAAAAAAAATCAGTTACTTAAAATTTAGACTTTCAACGGGAATAAAAAATGTAATTAGAGGAAGATCTCTATTTAAAAAGTGAACATAACTATTTCAAAACATCTTTGTATGAATTCTCTCCATAATAACAGTATGCCAAGTCATTCCAGTATGGTAGGTACTTTCATAACAGATTAGATCAACAATGAAACTTTTCATTTGAAATTTTGTGGGCGCAGGCGACTCCAATTTCAGTTTTAACCTGTGACTTTAATTCTGTTTAATGTTGAATAATATTGCCTTGGTTTATTTTTTTTCTGCACTAGGTATAGAAACAAAGACCACACATTAAATTAACATTCCAAGAAGGAAAAAAAAACCAATGGCAATTGGCAAGACTTAAAAACATGTCAGCCAAAAGCCTTCTTCGGCTAACAAGAAAAAAAAAAGTATTAAAAAAAAACATGCAAAAAAAACTTAGCGAATAAAATAGCATTTGCTGTTCTTTAGTCAGAGAACAAACTAAGAACTGATAGTAAACTAAAAATTATGTTTAAGTAAATAGAAGATAAAAGTACAAAAGGATTTGATGTGACCAAGATAGGGGCAGAGAATGGGTTATCATGTCATAGTATATACTTCTTTAATTCTTTCTTTTCTAGGCCTAGATTAATTAGACTTTTTAAAAAACTTTTGTAGAAACATTTCTTATACTTTCAGATTAATACATTCTCCACTTACAGAAAATTTCATTGTAATATTTTTATCAGATTAATGTACTATGATACTGTTGTTTTGATAATTTTTACATTTTTAGATTATTTCAAAATCTAGTTTTCAACTTAAAAATCTTCCTTTTCCTTCAGAAGGAAACTGTCTGATTGTGCTGCAAATTTTAGCTGTATAAGTTTGAATGTTTGATCACTTTTCATAAAAGAAGAAATTGATTTTCCCAACTGTCGTTACTTACAATCACAATATCCATATATCATGGTTCACAAAATATACATAATTAATGTTCAACTAATTATAATGTGCTGGGTTCATTCAATATTTTATTTTGCCTCCTCAAATTTTAGTAATTATATCTTTAAAAACAAAAAAGTTAAAAGCGGAAAACTGTTTTAAAATGGTTAAACTTCTATCCCAGTTTTTAGAATTAATACATTTAAAGACAAAGCCTAAATTATAACCTGATAAGTCTTAAGTGATAGAAAGGGTGATGGGTGGCAAAGCCGTCTAAGCTAAGTCAATCCCAAGATTGTGGACTGGAGTTCAATCCCCACCAAAGCCTAGACAAGCAAAAACCAATCTTTTTATTTAGTAGGCATATCAATAATGGCTCGCGCATTCAGTTTGCGCATATGGAAAAAAGATGCAAAAACTGAAGTGGCCATCTTACAATCGCTTCTACGGTAACCTCGGATTTATGCGTTTTACGTCACAGTTTCCTATTTGTACATTTACTTTGTCATCAATTACGATAAACATTTTTCTTCCGGTGACCAACTTGATTTATCTCTGTTCTTTTGTTGTGTCACTTTGATCATACGGTAAGCTATAAATATGCATTAAATACTCAGTTTCAGCAATTGCACAACATTGAAACCTAAAGAATTGGGTTAAGCATCCAAATGGGATTGGAAATAACTTTGAAATAGTCCAAATTCTATTTTCTAGGTTAATAATAAACCTTTCTTAGTTTCATCACCCTCCCATCACCCTCCCATCACCGGACAGAAAAAATTAATTTCTCCATATTTTGTATCTTCACCGGAAACGAAATTGCTCTCGTAAATGTTTTAATATTTCGTAATCTTTTAATATTTGAATAAATTTAAGTAAATTGTAATTTTAGAATACAGAAATCGAAAATATACATAAAATCTAATATTAGTTTGCTTCCACCTACTATTTCTAGACCAAGCCAACAACTACAATTTAACTATAATTTATAGGTCTATTCTACTAACTAAGCTTAGCCACTAAGCCTAAGTCGGCCTAAATTCAAAGTGGCTCTCCGAACCGAAATTAGCCTTATTTATTAATCTACGACTTTTTCATGAATCAAAAGAATATTATATTATATATAAGGCTAATCAGTTATTTAAGTCAAGTGGTCAAGTTTGAAGTTATTATTAAATTTAATTTTAAAAAATAGTTCACCTGGATTGCACTTTCTCTCAAGGCTTGAGAAACTGTTTCTCTCATTTTGGCAGCCTTGCCTTTACCTTGGAGAGCACCAACAAACCTTCTTTCTGTCATTTTCATGAAGTTTACTTATCCAAAACTTTCTTATTCCGATTCACCTTTTCGCTAATGCAAACTCTGAAATAGCGGAAGTATTTTGAGACCTACGGTAGCCATCTTTTTACTTTAACTGTTAAAGGGAACTAACATATTAATAATGTTTCAAAGGGCGAGCAGAATGAAAAAAAAAATTCTTTTCATCATTTGATAGCCTCCCATGAATTTTTTAATTTAAAAGAAAAATTGATTTAGATACAGCCAGTGGCGTAGCTAGGGTTGGTGTTACCCGACCCAGTACGGTAAACTCATGCTATCACCCCAGACACACTCTTCAACGGTGGATTTCTTCTTGTTAAAATAAGTCCACAGTATAACGATGACAAGAACAAAAACAAATTAATTGAAGGTCAGACGGTAATAAAAGTATTTAAGAACTGTAACATGTAATTAGAATCGCCCGACTACATCGTATTTGGTATCAATGGGCGGCTTTTTTCTCAGAATTTAAATAAATATAGCTTCCTCTCACTTACGAAAGTTACCCATCACTTCAATCGGCATTGAATCATGGTCAAATCGGTGCTTTTCTTACTTAACTATCGGGTCACCTCATTTCTAACGCATCAACCTTGAACTTTTAATAAAGCACGCATTTCGGTTGGTTACATGTGTGGAAAATTTACGTACGATCGTTTATCACTTCATGACATTCGGTTAGACCGAGCAGTGTGTGTAAATATGCAATTTTTCAATCTGATGCGGTGCGGTCCGCAACCCCGCACTCCCCTAGCTACGCCTCTGGATATAGCTAGTAATAACGATAGAATATTTGTTTTGGTTAAACTTTTGAGATTCACCTTTTTAATCTTTATTTTTATAAAGATATACTTAAAGAAATATAGTTTCATCAATAATGAAACTTCTTTTTGTCCACTTTCACAGACGAGGCGTCGGGGTACAAACCGAACAGTTTCAGTTGGCGATTGGCTGCAAGGTTGCAAGGTGTGAGGCTTGCTGGAGATCCATTTAAATTTTAGGATGATGTCCTTTACACAGTCGATCTACCGATGGCTTGGTCTTGCTCTGGCCTTGTAACCGGAGAGCCTGCTATTGTAATTGTAAGCTTGCAATGATAGCTCGTCTGTCGAAAGTCTACCATGACCATTCTTAACATCGGTCGTTTGCCGGGACTGAATCTGTCTGTGTGTGTGTGGGAGGGGGGTCTGTTTGGTACATGACATCAGTCTTCTTTGTGTTCTTCTTCTTCTTCTTCTATATCTTAAGGGCCCACGATCAATTTATTGATAATTTTGGTTCCTATGCATGAATATGGGATTTGCAATGTTTCTGTTCCTGGTGTTGATGAGGAAATTTCACTGATTTCCATTGCCACTTTGTGAGGGAATCATGCACCAGGGGTTTGTTAATGTTAAGACCAAATTTTGAAGCAGGCTTTCGAGAAGTTAGCAACACTGAGCTACATATCGGCCTGTGATTCAGCGTGAAAGCCACAGTCGCATACACAGAGTCCCTAATGATGTCTGTCCGAGCCTTAGATTTAGCGTTTTGTCTCCTATGGTTAAATACTTGACCATCAGTTCAGAATCCGATGCCAGTTCAAATGTCTCCCTCACAGAAAGAACCAGACAACATGGCGGAAAACATGATGTTGAAAAGTGTTGGTGCCAGGACCAACCCCTGTTTTGACAGGGAATGGGGTGAGACATCTTTCCGTTTTCCATTTTCCCGGACGCTAGCCTGCATACTATCGTGGAATTGACGCAACATTGAAATGAATTTTTGGGGGGCATCCATCTTTTCCCATGATCTTCCAGAGACCTTCTCTGCTGACACTGTCTAAGCTTGGTTAGGTCTACATAGGTGGAGGAGATGACAACATTTTGTTCCTACACTTTTCCTGCACCTGTCTGGCAGCTAACACCATGTCGATAGTGCTCTCTGAGAAAAATGCATTGACTTTCTGACAGTAGACGCTACTGAATACTCAAATTGAGACGGTTTAGAAGAATTCTATCAAGTATTTTGCCAGCAATGGAGAGCAAAGAAATACCACGGTAGTTATCGCAGGAATGACCGTTCCCTTTTACGTTTGTACATGCATAGTGATAGTGTCCCCTCCAACTGCAGTATAGACCGGATGCCCTTTCTCCAGGTAACAAAATTAATATGGGAAAGGGGGAAAACAAAGATCAAAAATTTTTTTTAAAAAGTCATTCCCTGGGAATGATATCTAACATCCTAAACGGACTCAGAGCCTTCGTGCAATCAATAGCGTTTGTGAATTTTTAGAGTAAGAAATAAAAATACAATTATAGGCCTACTCTGTACCTATAGGTACCCGGGTACATATAGCTACGAATAGCTATTCGGACCCGAAGTGGCTCCGTATAGAATAAATGGCTTCGGAGCCGGGCGTGATAACACTACAAGGATGAAAATAAAAAAATAATATTTTTTTTACTCCTTATTTCATAGATTCATAGTTTTATTCTATTAGTCGTGGTTTTTTTTTGCTTATAATTTCTTAGTGCAGGTAGTTGTTTTTTCTTTCTAATTTTATTTTTTAGTCGTATATCAATGTTGTTTTTTTTTAAATATAGTAATCAAGATGATTTAGATACTTTTGTTTTCATTTGAAGTTTAGAAAAGTTATAATATTAATTTAATTATTAATGGACCACGTTATAGAATTCCACCAACAACAGAGAGCGACCAATGTCCAAGCGTTGGTTGATGTGTTACGTGTCCTCATAATGAGCAGATCTGGGAACCGTTACGAGCGGACCAGGGATTACGTTGCGATATGTTAACTAGAGAGTTGTGCCACCCACTACCACTAAGTTTAAAAAAAAAAAACTCTTCAGCTCGCCGAAAATGCCGCCCCTCATTATAATTTTTTTTTAAAAGTGGTACCTGCGTGGACCACCCCTTCCACAGCCCCCTTCCTATGCAAATGGATTGACATTTTCTCCACAATTGTGAGTCATAGTAGGCAAATTAGCTATTTAAATGGTCTGTGGTTGGTCAGCTCTAATTTGATAGATGTAACTTAATTATTTAGATGCCTCCTAACTCGACTTTGGTTTGTGATTAGTAAAATGAGAGACAGTGTTAGTGATTCTATGTATCTTGATGGAACCAAGTTGCTTTGTTAGTAATCTGTTAATGGTGTTTATTTCGCTATTGACATATATTTCATTACTTTCCAGCTTTTTGCCTCTTAGTCTTAGTAAATCACCAGCTATTTATTGAGAAAGAAATCGAAACTGTCACAAATTTTAAGAAAGTAAATTGACAATTTTATTTAAAGTTTTAACAAACATTCCCCGCTTAACCCCCACCCTCAAAATTCTAGCCGCGTTAGTCCGCAATGGATGCACAACCGTGCAAAGGAAAAGCAGCGCCCTGGGCGAATGCGCCCCCTGATATTGAGGTCCTTTGCGAGAACCACCTTTACATGGCTGTGCATGGATCCAGTGGGCTAGAAAGAAATTTCGGACAAAGTAGAAAGATTTATAAATAAAACTATAAAAATATTTAAATCTAAATATATCCTATTGGGGAATTTTTATAACGTATCTTTGAAGACAGAAGAGTTCTCCTTATTTTCCCACAATGGCGTTGTCAATGACAAAAGATTCATGAAATGTACATTTAAAAAAAAATCTTGTACTATTTTGTTAAATGGTTAATGTATTCGAACAAAAAGACGCAATTTTAAGCCTTTAGTTCCATCAGGTAAAGAGAACGTTTTAATTTTATATGAATAGAAATAATTATTCGCGCTTAAATTTCATTGCCTTAATTTTAATTTAAGTTTAAGTAAGAGTAGTAAGTAGTAAGTAAGGCATATAATATATATGATAAGGTCATAAGGCATGATAATATAAGGCTAATAAAAAAGGGTAATAATTAGGGACCTCGGTATCGACCGGAAATACCCGAAAAATGGGTATCGTATTTTCGTTGTCATAATGGCGACCTCTTCTTTTTAATTTACTGAGGGTATCGTTTCGCGTGTTATAATCGATTTTCAGCATGATAATTAATAATATAATTTTACTACTGCCAATTAATTAAAGCCGACATCTTTCCTGTTATATTTTAATTTAGAGTTCGTTTGATTTTTTTGGTCAAGCTTACTTAAAGCTTTGAAAATTAAAGTTAAAAATTGGTCAACGTCACTCAATAATTTTTTTTTAAAAATGCGCTCAATAATAAAAAAAATCCGCTCTTATAATTTATAGGTTCATTTACAACATATCCAAAATTCATGACTCATGAGTGTGGACCATGGGTGGGCTTCAAAAACGAATTTCCAAGATGTCATTTTTTTAGGCTTAGGCTATGTAATTTGTCATCATGGCCACCGTGCTTTTCTGCTTATTTCCAATTATCTATAGCGGCCGTGGAGTAATTAATAATTCATTAAGTTGGCTATTCAGAGTGTAAATGGGAAATGTAACTAATAATAAATCATTTTATATAAATAAAAAATGTTTTATAACATAAATAATTATTATTGGCTTCTTGAATATCAGTGATTTTAATTTTTGGGTTGGTTGCCATGGACCTGGCTGACACTGACATGGGATTGATAAGCTCTTGTCTTTGACTTAGATAGGCTTAGTAAAAGTATTATAATGGTAACTATACTATTATAAATGATTTAAGGAGTGGGATAAATAGCTTTTATTACAACTAATATAATAATAATTTATATTAGTTTATATATTTATAGATAAATATTTATTTGTATGTATGTTATATATATATAATACATATATATATATATAAATATATATTTATTTATTTAGGCATTTTTATATAGCGCTTACCTTAAAGCTCTAAGCGCTTTACAATTATTAAAAACATGTAAACTAAGTAAAATAAAAATGAGACACTAGGATAGTAACTACTATACTATAGAAACAATTAAAATGGCTATAAAACGAGAACGCTTTGGTACGTTTTGGGCTATACTACAGGATCAACCAGAGACAGAAAATGAGGCAGGGCAAGGAGGGTGCATCACAGGTCATAGGCGGACCTAAACAGATGGGTTTTAAGGGACTTTTTGAAAGTGGACGAAGGGGA